AAAGATTTTAAGATTTTTTTCCCTGTGGAACATTAAATTTCCTTTCTTAGGAAAGACCTCATTTATGATACTAAGTAATTTTTTTTTTTGTTTTTCGAGACAGGGTTTCTCTGTATTGCCTTGGAGGCTGTCCTGGAACTTGCTCTGTAGACGACCAGACTGGCTTCAAACTCACAGAGCTCTGCCTGCCTCTGCCCCCTGAGTACTGGTATTATAGGCATGCGCCACCAATGCCTGACTAAACTGTATTCTTATAAATAGTAGGTTGCCACAGGAGGTCTTTGTATTTTCAAAACATCAGACTGAGATTATTCTGAAGAACTATGTAATCATTCTCCCAGTTTCAGTGTGATCTTGTGTCCAATACGAGGAATTATTTTGCTGGTATGAGTGCATTTTTTGCTAGCATAAAAGTCGGTCAAACTCTTTTACAAAAGAAATACTTTTCAGATTAAACTACCCACTGAAGATTAATAATTATCAAAGGACCACCACTTAGTCAATAAGCATACGTGATACCGTCTGTGCCTCAAGGAGTTCAGTCCCTAGTAAAAAAATCTCAAATGTTTTTTTTCCATATTTCAGAAAGGTCATTATTTTTGGATGCTAATCATTGATGTCACTCTTTTTTAAGTGGGCATAAATTACTGGCTGTTATTGTTACTTATGTATAGTACATTGAGTTTTGTCATTTAAAAAAATTCCAAATTTTCATATGTCAAAACTAGCAGTAAGCCAGGCATAAGCCTTTCAACAGTGATGAGGAGGCAGAAGGACTAGGAATTCATGGCTAGCCTGGGGTATGTATAACCAATCTCAAGAGAAATCTTAAAACAAATTGTAATAATGATCCTGTGTCATTTAGTTGTTCTAAAGAACAAATAAGAGAGTAATATTGGTCCAGTACCTGGCACAAAGTGACCACTGTTAATATTTAATCACAAAACAGACCCAACTCCTTAATAGGTCAGTCTCTAGATAATTTAGTATGAATATGAACCAACTATGTATTGTGTAAAGTTCAAATTACTTAAAAATATAATAGAGGATCCCTTTTATGTTTATCAAGATATTTGGTTCTGTGGGAAAAAAGATGCAATTTCAATGTATAATGCTATCTATATTCCCCTGTAGGTGCTATACATTTGCTGAAATGCCTTGGTATCAAAGAAGAATTGCTAAAGTGCTGTTTGCAAATCCTCCTAGTTCCACCTATGAGGAGGTAGTATGATGTCCTTTGTTAAGTTAGTACCAATTTCTTAACTACAGTCCCATTCTACAGTGTCCACACATATGGAGATCTGAATCTGTGAGGGATTTGAGCAAGTTTCTAATGATCCAATTCAACAATATCACAAAGACTTAATACTTACTGTCCGGGACTGGTGAGTGGTTTTTTTTTTTTTTTTCCTTGTTGTTTAGGTGAGTGGCTTATAATTCTGGTAAATTGCCAGCTAAAGTAGCTCATGGCTAAAATAAACTTCTATTTTTAATTGTAACCTATATCATACAAAAGCCATAAAATAGAATAAGAAGTATAGTGATTGTTACCCAGCTAGTTTTAGAGATATTTTATATAACAAATCATTTAGCAAAATGAAGACCATGTAAGAATTGATTTAAAAAATTCTTGAGTGTGAAAGGCTCATATTTTAAAGGCTGTCTGATTTTCCTATAAAAATAAAATTTGAAAAGATTTTGTACATAAGCTTTAAAGCCCCCACCTACTTACCCTTTGGATGCTGGGGTTTGAACCAGGATCTTACCCATTGACCCACCTTCTGAGCCTACTGGATGAAAATCTTGAGTTTACTTAGTTCTCAAAAATGTAAGGAACTTTGCAGATGAAAAATTATCCTAATATTTCTCCTATTGTAGTAAGGAGTATTGGTGTTGTTTGCCCCTAAGAATCTGTGGTATGCATTCAGATGTTGAAGAACCTGGTTTCTTTCTCTTCCCAGCCAAAACCAAACCCCAAACACACACACACACACACACACACACACACACACACACACACACACACACACACACACTTCTATCTCACAAAGTAGAAGCAGTGTATAAGCAGTGAGTGAATTCACCATTTAGTCATATCTAGTTTGTGCGAGAAGTGTTATTGTCATAACTTAAGAGAAAGGTAACAGCTGAATTCCAAATGATCAGTTCCTTAACTTTGTGCCAGGATGGTTTGGTGCATACTCTTAAGTAGCAACCAGGTAATTACTAGAAGTGGTCCTCGGTATTAAAATCCTACTTTTTAGTGATTTAATAGTATTAAATTGAGCCTATGTTAATCTCCCTACTGAATTCATCATTTAATAGTCATTTACTTTCTGATACCTTTAATAATAAGAATAAACCTTCAAGAAAATGAGTTTTTTTTCTTTTTATGTTATTGATTCTAATCCTTTCCATTCTATTTTACTCTTTGTATTAACAGGCCTTGAAATACTTTCACAGGGCAGAACAAGGTGAAATATTTTTACTTCAACTATCAGATAATATTGTCTCAGTGCTATGTCATAGAAAATTTTAAATCAGGATAAATATATATGTGCTGTATCTTTCATACTGGGTAATATAAAACACATTTAAATTGAAAATTTATGTGCATGGGTATTTCACTTGCATGTATGTCCATGCACCATATGTATGTCTGGTGCCCTCAGAGACCAGAAGAGGGCATCCCCTTGAGGCTGGAGTTAGCAGATTGTTGTGAGCTGACATTTTAGTGCTGGAATTGAACCCAGGTCCACTGGAAGAGCATTCAGTAATCTTAACAATGACATGAATCCTCTCTTCAGTCTCAAAATTTAACTTAGTTTTTAAAATAAAGATCACCTAAATTGGAATTGCACTTAAATTTAGAGTTCTAATTCTGGATTGTTCCCTTCATTTAATGTATCTTTTTTAAATGAGGAATCTAGGACAAATGTTCTAACTTGATATTTTATAGTTAACTAGAGGCACTGAAATGGAAACAATTTAAAACCAAGCTAATTTGTTTTGCACGTCGCAACATATTGTATTCATTCTATTGTGACAGAGTTCATTTTTCTTAATTTGATTGAAAATACTGGCTACTGCTATAACATTGTTGCTTGCCTGTCCTACATATTTCTCCTTAAAAAAAAAAATCCTGGCACTGCCTTTGTAAGTTAATGACACAGTGCTTTGCTGACATGCACAGTCCCCAAAACTAGAAGAAATAGGAATACCTTTTATTTTCTTTCTGACAGTTCTCACTGTATAGCTCAAGCTGGCCTTAAAATACCAATCCTCCTGCTTCAGTTTCCAAACAATGGAATTTTATAGCATGTGGCACCCACAATTCTTTATAACAGAAAACTAAGATATTCTCTTAAATTTAAGATCCTATATAAAATTAAGCAACTTGGTGATAATTTTTAAAACTTTAAATGACTGAATGTTAAATATTTCTAACTCTTGAAATTTTGTTTGCTCTTCATTTTGATATTTTCCTGATCATATGAATATGAACTTATCATACTCATGAAAATGCATCTAAGAATGAAATTATCTCAAAGGGGTTTGAAACTATAATGCTAAAGCAAAAGTTAGACTTTTTACGACAAGGTTTGGCAGTCCTGAATGAAGTTGTGCTGTCTGCTCATGGAGTTAAATCCTTGGTGACTCCACTTGCACCTAAGATTTTATATGAGCAGTCACTTTCTCTAAGCAAAAGGATGCCTAATTCCAGTCATTCACACCTCCCACATGGGCCTTCTTATTCTGCTGTTTGGGTATGTAAGACTGTGGGGGGGGGGGTAGGTGGATTTTTTTTTTTTTTTTTTTTTTGCTCATGTTACAGTTCCATTGCTTCACATATGATAGTTGACCAACTCCTGGATGAGGAAATAGATGGATAAATCAGCATACTTAACCTCAAAATGTTTAAATCAAAGCAATTAAGTGACTGAGTCTTAAGCAAATGCAGTTAATCGTAAGTTATATCCAGGAAAAAGCAGGTTTTGTTCTTTTTTAAACCTAGTGCCTGCTATGTGCTAAGCATGTGTTCTATTACCAAGCTCCATCCCTGGCCTCAGAAAGCATGCTTGTAATACAGAGAGGACAAGATTATTAGGATGAAACTATGTGAAGTTAGAGCTGAGTGTAGTGGTGCGTGCCTGTTGTCACCAATACTTCGGAGGCTTTGGTACTGTGACATTGCCTTACAATGAATTATTAAATTCCAGGCCTACTTGGACTTTCTCAAAAACAAAAAACAAGTTAGTGAGAGGATTGTTTTATACTTGCATTCATAGCCTTCTTAAAATATTTTTATTTAACATATAATTGTACATATTTATGGAGCATTGGTAATTCAGTATATTCATACACAATCAAAACAAAGCAGTTATCTCCATCTTATATATCATTTTTGTATTAGAAAATACTGGAGTCTTATAAGTCTTCTAAAAATGTATAGTAAATTATTAAAAGCATTTCCCTAGTCTTGTGACCCCCTTCCCAGCTCCTGATAACTAACATTGCTAGGCTCTGTCTGCACTTTTCTCTCAACCAAAATATTCTATATTTTATCTGTTAAAATTCTGTTCATAGTCCAAGATACTTATCTCTCAATTAGTTTTTTTTAAATGTGGCTTCTTGTAGCATATAAAGCTTTTAGTTGTGTTCTTGTTTCCTTCTCTGTGCCGAAATATAGGAGACATTTAGCAAATTGATCAAATTTATGTTAACCATGATTTCATTCATGCATTCTCACTCTCATTGGACAGATGCATCTAAGTATGTTACTTTCCCTATACTTTTCTGGGAAACTGGAATACAATAAGGATGGGTGGTTTAAAAAGAAAATGGTTCATATATAGCTCATGTTCTATGAGCATGAAGATACTGTATATTATTGAAATGATACCTTGGTATAGTAATGTACAGAGCCCATAAGTATATTCAATACATCATAATTATGTTTTTAAATATAACAGTTAAACAAAAGAATTGTATTAGCCTAATCATTGTTTAATGACACAATTTTATTAGAATTTAGACCAAAAAATTTAAACCTATAAAAATAAAAACACTATTTCTCTGGAGCTGACTTTGTTTCTCCTCCTTATGTACAGTGGATCCAAACTTCTACAGCAAAAACTTGCTGCTGTTAGGAAAGACATACTTGAAGCTAAACAACAAAAAGCTTGCTGCTTTCTGGCTGGCAAAAGCCAAGGGTTATCCAGCACACACAGAAGAAGATAAACAGGTAAAATATCTGTAATAAAGTAAGGCAGATAGGCTTTCATTGAGACATTAGTAAATAAATGAACTGAGAACTTCTTTTAAAAGCATAATTGTTTAAATGCATACATAGAATTATGGAAAGAACAAGTGCCCATTTGTATATTTACCTTTACAGTTAAACATTAGAACTCCTTAGTTACTATCACCAAATGTTATAAGTTGCTTAATGCATGTAGAGTTGATGTATATTTAATTGAGATCAGGTGTGCTTTTTAAAACATGAAAGTCAGCTCAGCCAAAGATCTTACCTGTCATGCACAAAGACCTGGTTCAGTTTCTGACACTGTGGGAGTGGGGTGTCGGGGATGGGACGGAAGGTTAAGTGGTATGAACTAGAGTATTATCTAATCACCACTATCAAGAGACCTTACTCTTACCATGTCCTGTCTTTTATATGTTGAAACTCTTAGAATCCAGTCTACTTTATCAACTTCAGTGTGTAAGTTAGGCTGCACTATTTATGTGTAATGTATTTTTGTTTTGTTTTGACTTTAGATACAGACAGAAGCTGCTCAGTTGCTTACAGGTTTGTGACAGAACTGAAAACTTTTTGGAGAAGGCAACAGTGTACTTAACACTTTGCATTTCATTGATTTATAAAGATATATATTAACCATGATTCTGTGGCCTTTTTTCCAGTTCTTTTATGTGTGACCATTTCACAGAATAAATGTACAAAATTCTGTGTTTCTTCATAAGTAAATGGGTAAAAGAAACTATCACATTGCTCTAAGAGTGGCAACAATACATTTCTCTGGTTCAGACAGACATTTTCTATTTGAAACATCAATAGGAAAAAAAATGGTATGGGATATATACATATTTATCACATCAGGATGAGAAGTTTACCAAGGAATGCTTTGTGAACAGATGGCATATGAGGGAATGGTTTTCATGTTGTAATTGACTGGACGTTGTTACCTTAGAGAAAAGGTCAAATGAGTTAGGTGTTTATGATGTTGAGGGTTCCTGGCATAGAGAATGTAAGTGATATGTCTTAGAAGTCAACCTGAATAGGGAAAAATACTATGGATTGACTTTGCTTTTTAAATGTGTTACAGCTTCATAGATGGCTGAATTTGTCACTTGACAAATTGTAATTCTGTATAGAATGGAGGGACACAGATTTCAGGGTGAAAAGGAAATAGATGTATTTAACAAGCAGGGTACTATCACAAGAGTCTGAGGCACCACCACAACAAACTTGTATTTCGTAAACTGAAGCCTGGATGCCTCCTACACTGAATAAATGTGAGACTGTATAGGTATATTTTTCCCCAAAAGACATGAGAATTGTAATGTTTTAATAAATTACAACAAAATGTGTAGGTTCATGCTGTTCGTTTTACCACGTAAATTTTCAAACAAACATTAGAAGTACATCCTGTGCTTGAATTTAAGCTAATATTTTGTTATATCCTATTTATATGTGTATATTTATTCATATATAATGGATTTTAAACCTCTGAAATTACAAATATTATCATACCCTTAAGTATCTTAGCTGCTCTTCAGAATAAGTACATTTTCCAAAACAAATACATTACCACATCTGTTACATTACCTCATAACAAGACATACTCAGATTTCCTTAACTGTCCAAAGAAATTGTGCTTTTTGAGAACAGAATTTGATTTGCAGCAGTTGGTTTTAGTCTTACAACACAAACTTTTTGGAGAGACCAATCCAGTTTTTATTATCAACTGTCCTTCATTCCAGATCAACCTGAGAATCATGTTCCATCTTGTCTTCTGAACTCCAGTTAATTATATTTAGTCTTCTTGGGCTTTCATATTCATCACTTTGAAATTAACTTCTGTTTCATTTTCTAACTTCATTTCCATTTTTGGTACACTCTGTTTTGCTTTAGGAGATTTGTACTGTTTAAAAACATGATTACTGTCTTCATTTGCAGGTTTTTTGGGTTATTTTTTTTTCTTTTTGTCAGCAGCTACTTCATATCTTCATTAATTGTCTAGTTAGGAACTTTAGCTACTTTTCATCTTCACATTAGTATATTATGCTAGAGAATTTAAAATTGTTTTTACATTATATCCAGGTCTTTTACCATATATGTATCCTTGCTGCTTCTGTGGTTATTCATATACAAAAAAATTATTTCTGAAAGTTCCTTTTGTGAAATGAGATATTTTCCAGTAAAGGCTTTTATGGATTGGAGGATCTATCTTTTGATGCTTTATAGACCTTTATTTTAAAATAATTAAGATTCACAAGAAATTACATAATGTAGTACAAGCAGGTTCTGAATACCCTTCCTGTTTGCCCTTGGGTGAGATAACTATGGTATAATACCAAACTAAGAAACATCCTGGTATTTGTAGACCTTAATTTATTTATCACTTTTAGATGTTCTCACTTCATGTCTAGTTCTTAGTAACTACTACGCAAATTATTATAACTACTACCACAGGCAAGATACAGATTTTACTCAGACATCTAGTGCTCTGTATAATCATACCCAGCCATATTCAGTCTCTCTAACATTCCTGACATACCCTACAACTAATCTGCTATAAATTTGTCATTTCAAGACTCTTAGGCAAATGCAATCTTCTAGAATACCACCTTTTGTAACTGTGCCATTTCATTTAGCCAGATCCTCTTATAACAGCTAAGTTCAGTCAATAGTTTTTCCTTGTATTGTTAATATTTTATTACGTGGATATACCATTTTATCCATCTATTGAAGGTATTTAGTTTTTTTCTAATTTCTGGCTATTAAAACTAAAGGTGTTTTACATTCATGTTTATTGTGGCATTGTTTACAGACAAGTTATGGAATCAGTGTAGATGTCTATCAAGTAGACAAATAAAATGTACATATTAACAAACCAGTTTTATTCAGCCATAAAAAGTGAAATTACCTCATTTGCAGCCAAAAGGATGGAACTGAAGATGATCTTGTAAAGCCTATAGAAGCTCAGATGGATACTGCATGTGGATCCAAATTAAACAAACAAACAAACAAACAAATAACATGAAAGTAGAAGGCAGATTACTTGGGAAGAGGAAGGAGGTAATGGTGGGCTGGAAATGTCAGAGCACATGTGAAAATATCACAGTGAAACCCATTATTTTGTATAGTGAATATATGCTAATAAAATTTTAAAGCTAGTATGACCTAAGTTTTATGTATACTTATTTTCCTTTATGGAAAAAACGACCAGGAGGACACAAATTCTCTGTATTTTCTAAGTCCTTGTTTTCACTTCCAAGAAGGTGTCACCTTGGTTTTTGATGTGTGCTCTAGGGAGAGACCACTTCTCAGCTAATGCAGCCTTTAATGCCATTATTTCACCTTCCCATAAAATTGCTATCTGACTCTGTTTTTGTGTACATTTCAGACCTTACTTTATTTGAAAAGGCTGATTTCCCCATATACAGAGTTTGTAGTATTCTATATACTAAACATATTACAGATACAGGCAATGGGTGATTTTCCTCTCCTTATGTGTGTCTTCTACCTTTAGGATTGTGTGAAACCTGAATTTGGATTTGTCTATTTGTAGTGCAGTGGATAGGGAAGCCTAGGCCTTTAAGCACACCAGGGGAAAACTGCTTATTTGGTTGTCTCCTTTTCCCTCATATTGGTAGTGAACTTGTCACTTTTTGATGACAAAATATTCCCAGTGTAGATCATCAACAGGCAATGGATGGTACAACATAACTTGTCAGATTTGTCTCATCGTTAACAAGGACCAAGAGAATAGTTCATGGGAAAGGCATAGAATTAGTATTTTAAAAAAATACTATCATCATTTTAACTGCATTCTCCTTGGTTGAATTTGGAGTAGAACTTTTAGAGTTTAGGAAATAGCACTTTTAAGCTTATGTCAAATTACCAGTTGATGTTAAACTTGATTTCTATATTCAGCAGGTTAAGAAGTAGGGCATGTTATATGAGAACTTTTATTTCATGTTTCAACAACTGATTTGTTTTGCTAGATCATGTTAATGTTTAATTAAATGTTAGAAGTCAAGAAGCCTACAATAAACTCCATTTGTTTCAGTTTACTCAGAACACTGTAGTGTAGGGAATATGAATAGCCACAGGGCAATGTTGGGCCTCATTTCAGAAAATGAACATTTAGCAGTAATGTAGCAGGTGTATCCACATGGTTCTGCAAGAACTGGAGTCTCTTAAAGTGACAGCTCAGGGCATGCGCCTGGAAGAGTTTTCAGATTCAGGGAAACCCAGTTACTTCTCCCTAATATGCATCAGGAGCTTTTTCAGTTCAGAACCAGCTTACTAATTAGTGTCCTTTTCAACCCCAAGTGTAAGCAAGGTTGTCTTCAATGGAATGATAGCTACACAACACCTAATTTATTTAGTTTTTAGGAGAACTAGGTGGATAATTGAAGTCAGCTGGAGCATTTTCAACTGCTTAGGAAGTATAGAAAAAAAAAGACAAAAGATAAAACAAAAAACCAAATAGTTTGTTTTCCTAAAGATAGATGGCTGAGCTGATTGGTAAAATTCTTTTAAGCTATTCCCTAGGCTCAATTTCTTGGTGACGTTGGGAACTGTCACTATTAGAAAGTATCATTAACCTGTCTCTGAGTTTCCCTCATCTCCCATTTTCTTAGAATAGGGATGGGAAGGACAGAAGAAGGCAGAACATGAACACATCTCTGATTTTTATGTTTACTACTGAGAAGATATGACAAGCCTGTATGTCTTAAAAATATAACTGGGTATGATTGAAAGAAGAGCCTGATGAGGTCTGCAAGCTAGTTTTCCCCCAGAAAACTTGTTTGGTCTTGTGGATTGTGTGAGGTAACAACAAAAAAGGTCCAGCTCCCTGAAATCCTACCTGACAGCCACCTTGAATCATATCTGCAAAATGATAGTCTCAGATACTTACACTGAATGAAAGCTAATCGTTTGGACATAGCAAGTTTATTATTTTACAGAATAATTTATGCAGTACTTTTGAAGACTGGCCAGCCTCTACTATGTAACTTGCCATATATTAGGAATAAAAGAAAAAATCTTTAAGCCTGAAAAGTAACCAGATTTTCTGTAGTTTATCCAACTAAGTAAGTTAATGCTTTTATTGTTTTTTGAATTTTGAATAAAACTGAACATAATCTAAATATGTAGAAAAATAAAATCGTGGCAAAACAATTAGTGAGAAGTTGTAATTCTAAGTGAATTTCATAGTTACAAAATTTTAAGTATATGAACTTCACAGTGCATATTGAAAGGATAAAAATGGAAAATATTTTATTAATTAGGAAGCCCAGTTTGCTAAAAGTAGCAATATCATTCACATTAGATTTTAATTTTTTCATACACCATGAATGCCCTTATAGTGAAAATCAGTGTTATTTGGAGAAAACTTGAGCTATATAAAATGGGGGGCACAAATAATTTTTTTAAATGTACTTACTAAATTTAGAAACAATTTTCATGAATTTTAAAGGAAGGGGGATATTCGAACACTAATAGAAAATTCTTAGTGTGAGTGTTTAAATACTTAATGCAACTTTTCAATCCATTTAGTTTAATTACATCTCTAATTTCATAAAACTAAACCTTGAGCACAAAAGCATCAAAGTTCAGTACTATTTATATACCCCTAAGCATTAAACTATTGATTATTAATTAAATTTGAAGAACATTACAAGTTTAAAAATGTTAAGTATAGAAATGCCTGATTCTTTGAAATTCCACAAATATCCAGCATCCTAAAGTAACATGTAAATAGACCTCTGCTTCTCAACAAATCAATTCCAGCTGCTCCTAGACACTACTGGATCTACTACATGACTTCTGTATTTACTGATATAACAATGATGGGAAATTTTTTTTTTATCTATTCATTTAGAACTCTGTAAGTTGAAATAATTGTCTTCAGAAAAGCCAGCAGCATTTTAAAAATACACTTAAAGTTAGAGTTGGCCTAAGCCCTAAATGCCTTCCTGAACAGCCATGCAACTAAAAACAACCAGATATCACCTAGGGAGAAGAACATGGAACATTTGCACTTTCCCCTGGATAACAGGAACAAGGCAAAGCAAATCCAGAGCTTTGTGAATGAACGGCTGCCATGTTTAATACACTTGGCGCTCTATAAAACTAGAGCCACTGTCATATGCCTATATAGATATATACTTAATAAATTCTCTTGCTTGCTTCAAAATTTAAGGATGATTTTTTTCCTGGTCAGTCATTTTAAGGGAACAATAAATAAAGTAGAAAATGATGAAATGTGTTGCATATTTCTGTGGAAGAACAGAAAACATTTATACTTTGAGAGAATCAGAAAATTAACTGTACAGAATGAACAGCTTATATACACTATCTGTGCAATTTTTCTTGGCTGGGGTATTTAAATGCAAGAGCTCCTCCAAGACAAGAAGCCACATTCATTCTTGTCCAAATCCCTCTGTCTCTTCTATTGCAAAAAGAAGTTTTTCCTTTAGTTGTTCATAACTCTTATATGGTGGTAGATCCAAGCGATTAAAACTGAACAAAAACAAAAACAAAATCAGACGTTTTTAATAAAATAAACTGAATAGATTTCTAATACAGTATTCTTTAACAGACATGAAACCTGAATATTATGTATGTAAAAATTTTGCCAAAGGTATCCTAACAATTTAATGTAATATTAGCATATTAACACATCTAAATTTCATAAAGAATCTATTCAACTTTAATACATAAAATACCTATATATACGAAGAATAATGAAATCACAATATAAATATGTATAGATTGGGTTAGAAAATGGGTTTCCTTCTGCTATTCCTGTATCATAGGTCATGAGTCTCCATAACTTTTCTTAGGTTAAGAATTAATTTCATCCATTTATTCATTCACCCATTATTTATTTTCTGAGAAAATTTTGTGCAGTATGTTCCAGCAACTAGTAACGTAGTGATGAAATCCTAAGTCTCTTCTCTCATGGAAGTTATGTTCTGAGTAGAGACAGTCAATGAATAGATAACATACATTTGACCCTTAAATAATCTCACCATATTAGATTGTAATCTAATCTACAAACTGAGCATTTTCTAGCCCTTCCAAGATCATTTTTTTTAGAATGAATAATGAAAAGAAAAATACTAAAACTAAAACAGAATGATATTCTATTTCTAAAATATGGTACTGACCAATTTCATTAGACTCAAGTGCCCATGGTTTTGGCAGCTTAATGCAGCAACATCCAGGAAGGAGTAAAAACCTGTCTGTTCCTTCATTTTTTTTGGTAAACACTTCTCATCTGTCCTGTCCCACCCCATCACCTGTGCAAGTTAGGAAAGCTGATAATTAAGAATCTTAGGAAGAGCCGGGCGTTGGTGGTGCACACCTTTAATCCCAGCACTCGGGAGGCAGAGGCAGGCAGATCTCTGTGAGTTCGAGGCCAGCCTGGTCTACAAGAGCTAGTTCCAGGACAGCCTCCAAAAGCCTCGGAGAAACCCTGCCTCGAAAATCAAAAAAAAAAAAAAAAAAAAAAAAAAAGAATCTTAGGAAAAGGCAGCCAATTTCAAGTTATGAAAACCATCATTAACAAGTTTCTTCATACTAAAAAACTTAAATCTATTTGCAGCAGCAATTTAGACTTTATATTGGTTGCCTTTCATTTTAAACTACATTCCAAGAAAAAGACTCTTAATGGTAATTGAGGTGAGGAAAACAACAATAACAAAAAACTAAAACAGTCCTGCACACACCCTTTGCCAAATTTTGTCATTCTACTAAATCCTATTTTTCCTCCCTGGTAATTTTCGTTGTCACTATACCCTTGTGTATACTTTTCTGTCACATGTGGACTATTAAGTATTTGTTGCTCTGCTCACTTTGCATCACTTATTTTCTTCACTCCGTATGTTTCTTTACATCACTGCCAGAGTCACTCTGCTGAAAAGACACACTAGCTTACACCATTCTTAGAAACACTTTGCTGCTAAAGCTGCAGAAGATGTAGGACGATAGATGGAAGGCTAGTATCAATTTACTTCGTACTTTTTAACGTAATACACACTCTATAGTCATGTCCTTTGTCTCTCTCTGGCCCAGAATAACCTTGCATGTGAAAGTCTCACAACAATCATCCTAAATGCTAGAGCTTCTAAGAAGTTTACCTACAGCAACTTATATAGCTCTTTGTTTCGATTTTAACATTTGTATCATGACTGACTGTTTTCCCCATTAGATTAAGTGCAGAGGCATCTCTGAATTATTAGTAAATAATTAATTTAGGGAAAGTTAAGTTGACTAACGGATAACAATGGATTATTTGCAAATACCCCAAAGAGATCTCTGTTTCAAGAAACATCATTTTTGTACTGCTTCATAAAGGACAGAGACATACTAATAAAATATGGGTATTGAGTATGTAAATATGGAAGTACTGGTTTTTAGGTATGGCTTTGAGTTGATGTACTCAAAAACAGACAAAATCAAATTTGCTACTTCTCTGAAAAAGGGAAGAGACTTGCCCATGTATTTTTCATGTAACTTGAAAAACTCATATGCTTATTATGTATTGACTCTCTAACTGGAGAACTTTAAAGTTGCTACCTCACTATGAAGATGACAGGAGTAGTCATGCCCATCTTACTGAGAGTCACTAAGGCTAACTGCATTCCTGATGAGATCATCATTTACCTTAGTCATTGTTGTTACAAACTGAACACTTTCTGATCACCTATTTTTTATCCAAATTCTCATCAAAGTACTCATCTGTATTTCCCCTTCTTTGAATTAAATCCCAATCCCATCTCAGACTTCTTCAGGTCTGGTCTGAGCTTCTGTTTCTTTACTTTCAGTCTCTTATAGTTTTAACTCTTCATCTCTTGATATAACTGAAATCCAGTAAGGTGGAAAAATGTCATTTCCTCTGAAGCCAATCAGTAAAAGTGTTCCTTTTCTGATGTACACCCTGCTCAGCCTTGTGACCTTTCTTAGTTTCTTACTAAATGCTCTTGGTTGGGTTTCATTCACTGAAGACTTCAGCTTGGAGGACTTTATTCAAAGTATTCATATGGATGAGAAACAATGCCATGGTCTCTCATTTCCTTGCCCTTCTTACTCGAGTGTTCTGTTGTTCTATTTTCTTCAGTTACTGACCTCAATATTGTATTTTTAATATTGTCACCATCAATGAAGAATATTTCTTACTTGATATTTTTTCTGATCATGTCTTTCAAGTTTATTTCAATGAAAACGCAAGCCTGTTTAAACCAGTACTCTTACCACCATACTAAAATTATACCAAGAGGATATAAACAACTTTTAGTAGATTAAAACTGTAACCAATGTTGCCCAATTTAAAAAAAAAAAGGTTTAAATGAACTCACTAGTAAGTGCCACCAGCCTTTTAAAGAAAACTAACACTAGCATTCTTCAAAATATTCCACAAAATAGAAAGGGAAGGGATTTACCACATTCATTTTAGGCTAGTATTACCCTAGTACCCAAAGTGGATAAAAAAAAAAAAGAAAATTATAGACCTTTATCCATGATGAACACTGACGTAACAGTGTTCAAGAAAATAACGGTGAATCAAATTCAAGAACACACCAAAAAGATGGCCATGAAGCTGAAGATGGCTCAACAATGAAGAACACTGGTCTTTCAGACGACCCAGATTCATGTCCTAGCAAGTATCCACAGTGGCTCATCGCTTACTCCAGTTTCTAGGGATCCAAGGCCATTTTTTTTTTTTTTTTGGTTTTTATGAGACAGGGTTTCTCTGTATTGTTTTGGAGGCTGTCGGTCCAGCCGGCCTCGAACTCACAGAGATCTGCCTGCCTCTGCCTCCTGAGTGCTGGGATTAAAGGCGTGTGCCACCACCGCCAGCCCAAGGCCTTTTAACCTCCAATGGCACACACATGGAGTACAGACATGTATAGGCAAAAAACTCATGGACATAAAATGGAAAGAAAAATATTTATTCATCATGACTTGAATTTCATTTCAGGAATTCAAGAATGGTATAAAATATGAAAACTACCTTATAGTATTACACAAAGATCACAGAAATCATCTTATATCAACAGATGTAGAAAAGGCCTTTGATAGGAGATAATAGGATATCCCCTCAAGATAAAAGCCCTGAAGAACCTAAGAATTATAGCAAAAAGGGCATATATGACACCTATAATCAACATTGTGGTGAGCAGGAAAACAAAACAAAACAAAAAACATGAAAGCATTTTCACTAAACCAGAAAGACAAAGAACACTATTTTCTCTACTCCTATTTCTTATAGTTCTTTTAGTCTCAGCTTGAGCAATAACAGATGGAAACAAGTAAGAAAGGAAGAAGTAAAGTGCCTTTATTTGCACAGGATAATTCTACGTCAGAGACTATAAACTTCACCAGACTTTAGAACTAATAAACCCTTTGAAGTAGCAGGACACAAAATCAACATATAAAAAATACTATCTTTCTTATACCCCAATAATGAACTTGGTAAGAATGAGCTTAAGTAAACAGTCCCATTCACAATAATTTTACAGTAAAACAGAAACCCAGCAATGAATGAATCTAGCCATAAAAGTGGAAGACCTCTACACTGAAATTATTAAAAATACTCAAGGTAGACCCGGCCCAGATATGAACAGGATTGACAGATTGATAGCTCTTTCTAAAATAAAAAAAAAAAAACTTAAGATAGAAACAGAAGACACCAAAAAAAAGAGGCGGGGGACTTACATGATTAGAATTAATATGACCATATTACTAAAAGAAACCTATAGATTCAATGCAATCCCCATTACCATTCCAATGACATCTTTCACAGAAATAGAAAACTAAAGTGTTAATATTTATATGAAAACATAGTTATATAATCCCTTAGGTACATACCTAAAAGACTCTAAATAACATGCCACAGTGATTCGTACAGTACATGTTTCAAAAGATTCCAAAGAGCAAAGCAATACTGAGCAACAAGAACAATGCTGGAGATATTACCTTACCCAACTTCAAGTTACACTAAAAAGCCAAGGAAACAAAACAGACAGATCAACACAATAAAATAAATGTTCCAAACAGCTAAAGCCATTTGACTTTTAACAAAGATTCCAAAAATATATACTAGAGAAAAAGATACCTTCTCCAACAAATAGTGCTGGAAAATGGATGTTCATGTGTAGAAAAATAAAACTAGATCGATATTTCTCCTATACCTATCATCATTTTAAGATAAAGTCAAGCATCATAATGTTAACACTTGAAACAGCTGGAAGAAAACATAGAAAAATACTCTAATATAGAGGATTCTCTGAAAAGGAGTTCTATATCAGGAAGTGAAACCAAGAACTGACTTACAGGTTAGCATGAAATTCCAAAAGTTCAGCACCGCAAAAGAACAAATGAGTGAGCAGACAGTCTAGAGAGCAGGGCAAGAATCTGCCAGCTATAAATTTGACAAAGCACCAATGAACTAAAAAATTAAATACCAAAGCCAAGCAAACCAATCAGATGGACTAATGAAATGAATAAGCAGTTCTCAAAACAAAGAAATGGCCAATAAATATGAAAAAGAAATGTTCATTGTCCTCAGTCATCAGGGAAACACAAATCAAACTACACTGAGATTTATGCCATCCCAGTCAGAATGGCTATCATGCAAAGAAAGAGAAAGACACAGAGAGAGAGAGAGCATGAGAGAGCGAGAGCACATTAGCACATGCTGGTGAGGATGTGGGACCCTATATATTGCTGGTGAAAATGTAAGTAGTCTATCTGCTATGGAAATCAGTATGCAGAGTTGTCAAAAACCAGAAGTAGTGCTTCCATATAACAATGACATAGTTATGCCATTCCTAGACATGTACCTAAAGGACTCTAAATCATCCTGCCACATTGAATCTTATATTCTATGTTTCAACAATATTCACAAAAAGCAAGCTATGCTATCAGCCAACAGGTCTGAAAACAAATGAATGGGCAAAAAATGTGGGGGTGTATATATACACTAACAGTTTTATTCTGCCATAAAGAATGAAGTTATATCATCTGCAAGAAAATACTCAGACAGATAGTCATACTAAGCAAAGTAAGACTTAGAAAGACAAATATCACATGCTCTCTCCCATTTATGTATCCTACATTACAATACATGTATATGGGTCATGAAAGTAGAAGCAAGACTGTGGGGGAAATGAATGGAAATAATGGGGGAGGGGACAAGGGTAGGAAAGAGGTAGAACTTGGTTAAATGTATGAAATATTTGCATGAAGATGTCTGTACCAAACCCATCACTATATACAATGAATATATATCAATAAACTAGAGTATTAATGTTAGATAAGGCATATATTCAAACATCAAGAGTTAATAAACAATGTTTAGTGCTTCATAAAGCACTGGCTTTATTTATTTTGAAAAGTACATGTTTTTGAAGTGTATCAAGGAACAGCTTGGCATTCCTGCTTTTATTTGTCATAAGGCACTACCATTTTAGCACTATTGTTTCTGCACATGTAGAAATACCAAGGCAACAAAAAGCCAAATCATGGCTTAGGATGGAAATAGCTCTGAGCTCCTGAAAGAGCTCCTTATCATTTGTGCTGTGGATAATGTAACATTTCCCTACATTCTCTTTCACCCACCTCTTCTGTTGTACTTTTACTACATGACTTCTCTTAAATCTCATTATTTGTTATTTATAATTCTTTAAGCTTTTAAATTTCCTTATAAGGAAGTTCAAATTACAATAACAATATGGGCTAAATCATGTATTTCTAATTGTATTCATATTTTTTGACTCACTATATTCCAGTCACTTTAGTCAAATTCCAGTTCTTACTTCAGGGGTTTTGCTTTCTTCAGCATTTATTCCAAGAATATTCTCTTTTTCCCCATAGCACGCTCTCTCTTAAGGTTAAGTTAAATATTGCACTTGCCAAGGAATCTGGCGCCTGCTGCACAGCCATACAACACACTCAAATTGTTGCAGCACTCTTGTCCTTTTAGCTAGCTGTTTATCTTTTCTGCCCTACAAAGACTTCACAAAAATGCAAAGAGTCATTCCATCCTACTTGCTACATAATGGGTACTCTAAATATTCATTAAACATTCTATAGTATTTCTATTAAAGCTATACAAACTCATTCTAGAGCACTTAGTTATGGAACACTATATGACTGTGCTCACAAAGTATAATGAGGAAGTAGCTATAATGGCTCTTACCTGCAAACAAACAAACAAACAAACAAACAAACCCTCTCTGGCCCTCACCTTCCTGTTTAGGAACTTACCAGGTATGGCTTCTTGGTAACCAGGTGTCTTTGCCAACTTTTTCAATACAAAACTTTTGAGGCCCATTACTTCCTGAATCAGGAACATAAGAGAAGATAATGTTTATCTGGTTGGTCCTTTAAAACTAACAGAAGCATAACATATGGGTGATACGGAGGAAACTGAAGATTTCATAATATAGCCTACTTCTGCACTGAAAAGCTTTTTGGTACTGCGGAAATACTGAAGTAAGAATTACATCTGTGGAGAGAAAGGTAACTATTTTTACATAATTTTGCTTCCGTAGCAATTACACTATGAAGTAAAGCAGTAGCTATCTCCTTTTTGATGACACTTTCATTTTATTTCACAAATTGTGGTGGTTTGAATGAGAATTTCTGGCCCCCACAGGCTCACAGATTCCAATGCTTGGTCAGCAGGGGGTGGCACTATTGACAGGGATTAGGAGGTGTGGCCGTTTGAGAGGAAATGTGTCACTTTAAGGTTTCAAAAGCACATGACAGGCACAGAGTCTTTCTCTTCCTGCTTCCTGTGGATCCAAATGTAGAAATCTCAGTTACTGCTCCAGCATCATATGTGCCTACAAGCTGCCATGCTCCCTGCTAGGACCCGGTGTATCTTAAGGACAGAACAGTGGCCAAGACACAAATGCTTTATGTATCAATGGCTAATTTTTCTATTGCAGAAGCCTTACATATGAACCAGAAAAAAATAGTCATTACATTTAAGTCTACTGTATTCATGGCTACCTTACAAAATGAAGTTCAGAGAAACTGCAGTGAATCTGCATTTACCCATGAGCTCAGCAAATCCTCCTAGAGGTAATCGGCAGGTTCCAGTGACAAACTGCAAGAGTCGCATTCTTACTTCATTATCAGTCTCTTTCACAAACTGTATGACAAAATCAAATGTACTTCAATATAAAATGAGGGCCAACATCCTATCAATAATGAACAGTAAACAGGCGAAAATGTTAAAAAAACAAAACAAAAGCATTAACAGTGAAACTAGTCGAGCAATAATGCAACAAAAAAGTGTTTGTAGTACCACTTAGGTACACTGTAGATCTCACTTCAGTCAACCCGAACACTTACAATACATGCAGCCACTATTACAACTATCATACGAACAGAAAATAATTGAGTTTAGAAACCTTAAGTCACTTGCCTACAGTAATGTCTCTTAGAAGTACACTTGCCTCTTACTGAGGGCTGGGGTTAAGCACTGTACCACGTGCTTACTTAGGTGTCACAACAATCTCTGAGGCAGCTGCAATCACTAGCAATCTTACCATACATCCAAGAAAAGGAAGGCCTACAGAGTTTAAGTAATTTGTCTATTCAAACTGCTAAAAATTAGACCATTTGAACTCCTGCCCCATTGAGTATAAACCACTAGGGGTTGTTGGTTTGTTTTTCCAGACAGGGTTTTTCTGTGGCTTTGGAGGGTGTCCTGGAACTAGCTCAGGTAGACCAGGCTGGTCTCAAACTCAGAGATCCGACTGCCTCTGCCTCCAGAGTGCTGGGCTTAAAGGAGTACGCCACCACCGCCAGGCAAGCATAAACCACTGTTAAACTGTGTCAAATATTCCCTTTTAAGCTACAAAAACAAAGGAACTCTTCCCCATGGCTTTTCTCTGTGGTATTTTCTGCTATTAAGCATTTTCCAAACTTTCTATGCCCTTAACTAGTACCTGAAAAACTAAAGTTGTCTCTAAAATTAACAAGTTTGCTGACAAGTTCTGTTGAAGAGGAATGTGAATGGCAAAATATGATAAAATATATCATGGGTTGATTTGAATAGAACAGAAAGCTAGCAACTTAATAGGGCAGTTTGAGAAAAAAAAGGCTTCTTTCAAATACAGAATATACACGTGGTGGCTAATTTTCATTGTGAACTTGACTGGGTTAATTAAAAGCCTAAACTTATCGAGGCACAAGCTTTGGGTGTCTCTGAGGTGTTCCAGAGAGGATTAATTCAAGGAAGAAGACTCTACCCTGAATGGGGGAGGCACCCGAATGCCATGGGCTAAACTGCAGGCTTAATAAAAGGAAATGGGAGTAGGCCATGTCTACTTCCTGATCTGTATAGCTATGAGCAAAGGTCACTGCTATAGCTGCTTCTAACATCATGCTTTCCTGTGATGGCTGGTACTCTTAAAACAGTAAGCCAAAATAACATTTCTTCCCTTAAGCAGTTCTTGTCAAGAATTTGGTCATAGCAATGTGAGAGTGGCTAATGTCACAGCTTACACATAAGATATTTAGCTAATCCAAGAGGAAAACTTTGCATAGAATTGTGCTGAGGCACAGTCCATTGTGAGGATGTGACAGGCAGCTCTAATCTGATGGCACTGTGTTTTCTCCTCCAGAAATGAACTGCTCTATCCCAGTCATTAAAGTGCTCAGACCTGCGTAATAATTTACACAGAACCCTGGTGATGACTAAAGAATCTTTTTTTTTGGTTTTTCGGGTTTCTCTGTATTGTTTTGGAGCCTGTCCTGGAACTTGCTCGGTAGACCAGGCTTGGTCTCAAACTCACAGAGATACACCTGCCTCAGCCTCCAGTGTGCTGGGATTAAAGGAGTGTACCACCACCACCTGGCCGGCCGGCCGGCCAACTAAAGAAATTTAATGTGGAGCCACGAATCCCTTAGAATTGTTGTCCTTTTAGCACTGGGACACCTGGGAGGTCCTAGTGGCCTGCAGGTGAGATAAGAACAGGGTAATGGGCTGTGAGGTCTTAACAGCTGCTGGTTGCTATGGGAAAGGGATGATACGGTCTTTTTATAGTAGGGAATGTAAGCACCAACTGGGGAAGTAAAACAATTTTCCTGCGCAGCTGTGGATTCCATGGATAGTTGTAATACACACCTTTCTGATGGTTGCCTTAAAACCCCACCTTAACCCCTCTTTGGTATGGCATGTTATTTGGCTCTAAGGCTGCTGTCCTTCTGCTAGCAAGAAGAATAATCTCCAAATTTGAATTGAGTCTAAGTTTCTGGTTTCTTCTAATGGATTCAAATGGGAAACACATTTTATTACTAGCTCTGACCTAAACCTCACTATTTTATCTAGGTCAAACAGTTCAGAAATACAAATACTCATTTGGATTTCTATGACCTTAAGCTCATAGGCCCATATGTCCAAATAAAAGGTCGTTAAAGTGCAAGGAGATAGCAAAGGATGCAAAGAGGATCAGTTGTGTACACTGCCTAGGATGCATTTCTGTATTAGAGCTTGAAAGCAGCTCCTCCTGTGTAAACAGCAATAGACACTAGTTTTTAAATGCTTTCTCAGCTTGGCCTCCAACTACTGAGCTCCTTTCCTATTCTCTTACCCTACTCTTCCTACCTCTCAGAGATGGTATACTCATATGCTGTAGAATACACATGCAAAAAGTAAATGTTATAGTTCATTCAATCCTTTCCTGGTAGACATTTGAGTTCTGTTAGCATATAAACATCTACTGTATTAAACACTTCGGTGTATGCCATTTTGTATACGGTGAATATTTAAGATAGGTTCACAGAGGGTCTACATGTTAAAATATTATGCAATGAACTAATGGGAATCATTCTTATAAAAAGATGTACATTTTGGAAAATCTCATGATAATACAAAACCCAGCTTTTCACTTGAGTGTAAAAACTATCAGAAGTCCAACCATTAAGTTACTCGGATGAGCTGTAAGTAAAATATTTATGGAAAGAATATCCCAGGATTTAAGATCTTCAACATAGAGAATAAAGCAAAACAAAATGGCTCTTAAAATGTGCTTAAATAGCTGGCAGTGGTGGCATACACCTTTAATCCCAGAACTCAGGAGGCAGAAGTAGGCTGATCTATGTGAGTTCGAGGCCAGCCTGGTCTACAGAGTGAATTCCAAGACAGGAGGGCAACATAGAGAAACCCTGTCTTGAAAAAACAAAAGTGCTTAAATATAAGTGTGGCTTACTTGTATGTTCTGAGACCTACCTGATCACAGTTAAAGGCAAAACACAGTAAGAAAAAATAGTTATTCTTGTGTATTGTCTGAATTATCCCAATTACTTAGAAGAATTACATACCCACATTGACCACATTGACCTTATCATTAAAAAGATACACTTGGCTGGAAGTGGTGGAAGATGCCTGTAATCCCAGGACTGGATGAGCTGATGCAAGATGAAAGCAAATTCAAGACCAGCCTGAGCTATTCAGGCAGACCCTTTCCCAATATACAACCCCAGCAAATCCAAAACCAACCCAACAAAACTCCACACTCACTCACTTCTAGAGACATGCAGAATTTGTAGAATACTTGTGAAACCACTAAAGACTATTCATACCTCCATCTAGAAAATAGTGGAAGAGTTGGAAGGCTAAAACACAGATCCAAAAGCAGTTAAAAAATAATAGACTACTTTGAGACTACTTTTTATGAGAAAACATTTTCTTCAAATGATTTATCTCAAAAAGATAACACAAATACCTGCCAAAACCAAATGATTTGCTTGCTGTTTCTTGTATAATGTCGGTAAACAGTGTTTCTCTGCCAGTCTGCCAAGTCAACCTCTTGCATGCCACACAGCATAACCTGGGGAAGAAGCATGGTATCAGCCACAATAAAGCACAATAAAGACTGGGGGCAGGGTTGTGTTTGTTTATCTTTTTATTATTCATAGACGTTTCTGAAATATATTCTAGGTAGAATAGTTGGTCATGGTAGGTTCTGCCAGTGTTTTGGTGTTTTCCTTTCGCCCCTTTCTGAGGCAACGTCTCACTACGTAGTCCTGAGTTGGGGGTGAGGAAGTGGGGGGGAGGTCCTGGAACTCACCACCTATACCTGGGTAGCCTATAGACCTAAAACTAATGGCAATCCTCAGTTAATCCTCCCAGTGCTGAAACTATAGGTATCTACCACCAAGCTTAGACTTTGTATTTCCTTAATGGTACCTTTTAAAGAACAGAATTTTTACTGTTAATGAAGTCAAGCTGTTTTCTTTACAGTATTAAAAAATTGTAAGCAACTTCTATATCATGAACACTTACATTTTCATGCAGGTATTTGTATAAATATGTATTTCATTCCATAGGTAACACCTAAAGGATAATTTGCTAGAGCATAAGAAGACATACATTTAACAGTATAACCCCGAGAAATTGCCAACATTGTACAAAGTGAAATTTCATTTAGGTTACCATTCTCTTGTTTTATTTTAGGCTTTCATGTTTATACTTAATATTCATCTAAAAGTAATATTTGTTTATTGGCTGAGGTAGGGGCCAAAGTTAACTTTCTTTCACATAGATATCCAATTGTTTCAACATTATTAGTTGAAAAGGCTTTCCCTTTTTTCACTGAAAATAATCTGACAATGCATGTTGTGATCTGTTTTGAGATCTGTTTGGATGCCATCAATCAAAATTTGTACATTTGAAATATGCTACATTGAGGACATAATGGTAAGTGAAATAAAGAGTCAAAATAATGAAAATAAAGTAGGGGGACTTGAGGCTTTGTGTTTAATGTGTGTAGAGTTTCAGTTTTATAAGATGAAACAGTTCCCAAGACTTGATGCATACCAATGCAGTCATACTTAACATTATTGAATTAAATATTTCAAAATCAGTCTAATGGTAAATTTTATATGTATTTTACTCTATATAAACAAAACCGCTTCTGATATATGCCTAACCTTACTCACATGCAGTCAGGATCACTAATTAATTAAGATTTAATTAAGAATCTTATCTTTCAAGGTAAGTCACTATTAAATTAAGATTTCTGAAGCTTCCCTAAATTATTAATAGCGATCAAATCACTCTTTATGACCCTTAACAGATGACACAGATTAATGATATTATCCTTGTAACATTATTGTTCTTAAAACATCACAAAACATAAGACACACCCAATGCCAAATGCATTTAGACAAATGAGAAGAGTCAATATGATACTAAAACATGGACATAGTGTAAAATTGTAAAACAAACCAAACATGGTAGACTACTGCTGGCATGTGAAGCCTATGCAGGCTGAAGTAGAAGCATCAGGATTTCAAGGCCAGTCTGAGCAGAAGTAGACCCTGTCTTAAACAAAGGAACAAACAGCACTGAACCTGCAGAGGAGAGGTGAGTTGTGTTGGTGTGGAGGGGGGGAGGGGAGGAGATGGATGGATGGATACAAAGTCCACCCATTCCCACATCAGTATTTCCAGCTATCAAATAATGAAAAAAATAGCCAAACCTCCAATTCTTTTTCATCAAAGTATTGTAGCCACTGAAGGGGAACAACTTCATTAAACCCATCAAGGAAAGCTTTGGTCTGTTCTTGTACTCCTCGAGAAAAACGCCATTCCGTCATTAAGCTGCAAATAAAGACAGTATTGGAAAATAGGTCATCTATATATGAAACTAAGGGAAAAAACACGAAGAAAGCCTTAAATTCCTTCTCTTTTTTCAAACTACACTCCCCAAATATATGCACACAACAAGTATGTATGCATGTATTTTTGTGATTTTAGAGTTAATATGATTTTCCATTAAAAATTTCATTCTATCTTTTGTAGTTACTTTTATTTTTTTGAGATTATAGTTTAATTATAACATTTCTCCCATCCTTTTCCTCCATCCAAAGCCTCCCATACACCTCTTCCGTATTCCAATAAAATGAAAATCCATAGGAAATGATGTATTTCTTGACACATATATTTACCACAATTACATGAAAAGTATATAAATAAGTAGATCTATAAAAAGCAGTGAGGTCAAAGCAGTAATAAAGAATCTTCTAAGAAACTGACTCAGACCTACACATACTCACACAGAACTAATATTAGTGGTCCTCAAAGTACTCTATAAAATAGAAGAAATCCAGCAAAGTTATTTTACAAAGACAGTTATCACCTGATATCAAAGCTTCACATGGATGGCCACACTAACAGATACATTACCAAACACACATGAGAGAGACACTGATACTCTGAGACTATAGGATAGAAATCACATGAGATTTCAAAGGATAGAGAAAAGGCCTTTGGCAAAGTATAACCCTTCAAGACAAAGGCCCTGAAGAACCTAGTATAATGCAACAACATAATGAAGGTTGTATCTGACAAATCTATAACATTGCAGTAAATGCGGGAAAACCTCAATGTGTTTCTGAGCAGGACCAAGACCAGGTACTTACTTAGGATACCACTTGAAGTCTTTACCAAAGTAACGAGGTAAGAAAGAAACAAAGGGCACAGGCTAGAGCAAGTCATGTTATTTCTATTTGTAGGCTGACAAATGCTAAAGACTCCACACATCACAAAACTTTTAGAACTAACAAGCATGTTCAACAAAGTAACAGGACAAAATCAATACAAATATATAAATCAGCTACTAATAATTTTTATAGAAGTCAGCTTACAGTTTTTCTATATACCAGTAATGAACATGCTGAGAGAGAAATCAGGAAAACAATCACATTCATGATAGCCAGAACATAAATCTTAAAAATAAATCTAATCAAGAAAGTTAAAGACTACTGTAGTGAAAATATTAAAACACTAAAGAAGGGATCTGAAGAAAACAGAAGATGGAAGTTGCCCACACTCATAGAGCAGCAGAAATAATAGCATGAAAATAGCTACACTTTCAAAAGCAAACTACAGACTCAATGGAAACCTCATCAAAATTCCAATGCCACTCTGAAAAACTTTTCAGAAGATTTGTAGAGAAATACAAAATACCCCGGACAACTTAGAAATCTAGAACAAAAAGAACAATTTAACAAAAGCACAGTGTGCAAAATAAATGACCTGGCTCAAAAACAGACATGTGGATTAATTCAATAAATTACAGGCCCTACAGTTACATAGCCACTTAACTTTTGTCTAATGAGTAAGCAGTTCTTAAAAGATGAGGTTAAAAAAAATACAAAAAGTTCAACATGCAGAATGCAGAATGGCTACCACAGAAAAAACAACCAATGCTAGCCAGGAAGTAAAAAGAGAATCCTTACACACTGCTGATGAGAATGTAACCTGGCTTGCTACTATAGAAATTAGTAAAACCAAAAAATAGAACTATTCTCAAGGAAGAGTGTATCAATTGTTAAGCCAAAACCAAACAGTCCTGAAAGTACACATATAACTAACAGCATACAGACTGAGCAGATTATATTTAGGAATATAGATGTATATACATATACACATAAGACAACAGTTAGTGAAAAAAAAGGTGATCACGAATTTGAAAGAGAGCAGAAGTACATGGGAAAGGATTTGAAGTGAGAGAAGGGAAGAGGGAAATTATGTAAATATATTATAAACTCAATTTGATGACAATGGGTAAAATTAGAGATGATTAAGTGAATTAAAGAGTTCCACAATATCCAGGGCTACACAAAGAAACACTATCTTGAAAAACCAACCAACCAACCAACCAACCAACCAACCAAATAAATAAATAAATAAACAAACAAATAAATAAATAAGTAAAATTATTAGAGTGGGAATGCAGCATGGAATGAAATGACAATGACAGCATAGTTTCCGGACATGATTTTGCCCATTCCTAGCATAGCCTCAGTTCCTGCATCTATAAACGAAGAAGCTACACAGTCTTTGCAAAAAACTTTCAACAAGGTTCATATCTTCCTTCATGATTCAAGTATCAATTACCTACATTCTAAAGTAAGTAATATCTACCCTTTTCTGTTCTCCTCTTTCCACATTATACTGTGCCTGCATGTTTACATCACACATACACATTATATAAGTTATACATAACTCCTGATACATACATACATACATACATATATATACATGTATGTATACAGACACACACACACACACACACACACACACACACACACACACTACAATAGGTTCCACATACGAGGTAAAACATGAAAATCCCTTTTCAGCACCAATATTCTCAAGCCTTCTGATCTAGGCAAAAGGAAATGCCTAGTGGAAATGCAAATGGGAAGGTGAAAGACGGCACACATTTTCTTATTTCAAGGAAATTAGAAATGGGAGATGTGGATCCGCTTTAGAGCACAAACATCAGACCCCTAGCAGAGAAAGAACCTGATGAGAATTTCCCAATATGTAAAAACTAATAAAATTAAGGGTGTATATATAGATTTCCAGTTAGACTCTGTAAATTCTACAAACTTGAGTCCAATCAGCTCTATGTACATACCCAATATATTCATCTTTGTTTTCTTCAGTCACCAGGATGTTGGAACCTCCCAACTTCAGATCATGTGAAGTAACTTTTCCCAGAATCTCCATGTCAACAGAAAAATACATTTCTAAACCACATTCTTCAATGTTGTTGTCTCTGGATAAAAAATAAAAATAGCATGTGAATATGCATATAAACAAAGTATATAAATGAATTTCAAGTAAATATCTCAATGAGAAAGAAATCTTCAAACCTTATCCAGATAAGGGAGTTATAAAATTCAGTGTCAATAGATTCCAAATCCTTAATAGTAAGTTTTTTACTTAGCATACGTTTGTAGAATGGTAAAGAGAAACCTGTGTCAATAAACTTTCCATGGAATAGTGCCTGTTGAGAAAAACAAGACATTTTAGTTAAAATTACAAAATAATCTTTAGGAAATGATAATAAAACAGAAGTCAAGACTTTACATTTTAAAAAGCATTACTCAATGGTATAAATTGTGAAAATTAAAATATAAAATGCAAACCACAGAAAACAAATTTGAATGAAAAACTTATAATGTACAATCCAAACTATATATAAGACAATATGGGACTTTATTACCAACTTCCCATAATTTTTAACTTATTTTTAAATAATTAACTACACACAGAAATGAAAAGCCCCATTAATCTCTTTCCAATCTGTAGGACCTCCATGTCTTCATGCTTATGTACAGCACCAAAACAGGAAGAAGTATCAGTGAGTTTTGATCCTATGGATATCTAAAACCACTCACTGAATCAATTATATTGACCCTCAGCCCCTTATTCAGGTTATATTCAGTCACCAAGTCATTGAAATTATCCTCTTACACAAACCACCCCCCCCCACTGTATTTCAAACACAATCCCAAGCCTAGATGAACATGCTAGAAGTACATAAACTAAGCAAGCTAGTAGTACCCAGGAACATCAGAAGGAACATTATTTCTTTTCTATGCCGAGTTTCCCTATCTCAGATGACTATTCACCAGTGTGCCTCTGTCCTCAAATACTTACTATACTTAATGCACACAGGAAAGAGCAACCAGGAAAGTTTTTTTGTGCAGTCCACTCAGTCTGCTCATTACTAGCATCTGAACTCCCCTACTTTTTTTTTTAACTGCCCCCCAGAGAATAAACTAGTGGTCTTTCTGGTTTCCCTCTCCCATCTCCTCTCTGGGGGGCTGAGAGGCCATTAAACGTGGAACTCCCATACTTTTATTGCAAGTAATCTTTCTATTACTTTGTGAGCAGTATAGACTTCTCCCTTTTATTCAAGGTCATTGCTCTTATATTCCTTGTATTATTGATTTCAGCAAATTCTTTGTTCTCAGCTGGGCTTCATGGCACATGGCTGTAATCCCAGCACTCAGGAGGCTGAGGCAGCAGGCTATCAGCCCAAGCTACAATAACAAAATACTACTCACTGGCATCAAATTCTCTATGCTACCTTACTGCAAACTTTTCTAAAGTAGATGCTTATATTTTGTTTGAATGCACACCAGTCTTTCTATCCTACCACTTATAAACATTTTTCACCATGCTAAATGATTGATGGTAGACCCATCAGTAACATATGAAAGGGTTAACCATGGTGTCTTTGGAAAACACCTCCTTCCATTTTCTTCTAGGAACCACTTACGTGATTTTCTAATTTCAAGTAGTTTTGTTTATTTGATTAAGTTTTTCACTCCTTTTCATCTCCTCAGCTTATAAATATCCACATAATTCCTTAATACAACCATGAACTTTTGTTATTTTCTACATGATTAGAACCTCAAATGCCTCTTTCTAATCTAGACATCTCCCCAGTGCCAGATTTGGATACCTACTACACCTCCACTGGATGCCATACCTCCAGTATTTATTTGCTCTTACCATCAAGTCTTATCTTAGGATATAGCAATTTCAAGCAAATGTACTGGCCATGCATTTTGGTGCCTCACTTTACTCTTATGTCTTGCCATTAATCTCCCAGAAAACCTAGTTCTTTCTAATTTCTGAATATATCTTGAATCCAAACCACTTCTCACATCTATTACTAAACGATTTAGATCCAAAATCATTATGAGCCCTCACTGTTACCTCTGAGTGGTCTTTATGTCTCTACCTCTGCTTTCCTCTATGCACAGTTAGATTCCTTGTTGGTCTTCCCAACTGACCCACTCAAAACCTTTGTATGACTTTCCTAAAAGTCCTACATGGTATTTCTCAGTCTCACCTCTTACCATATTTTCTTCCATATACTTTGCCCCAACCATGTTTTTTCAACTAATGAGGCATTTCTAAACCCTGTAGCCTTTCCTTAGCTATTCCATGAGCACTTATGCTCTTCCTGAAGGAATTCAAGTGACCCAGTCTCTTGTCTTCTTCATGTTTCCATTTGTGTTCAACCTTCAAAGGTCTCCTTTAACCCATTATATGAAAAAGTAACACCCCTTGGCTCCCGCTTTATAGAATTTAATTTCCAACAGTAGGAACTCTACCATTTTGTTTTGTTATTCTTTAATACCCAGTGCCTAGAAATGAGCATGGAATTACTTTAGACTCTCAGCAAATCCTTGCTAAACAAATAAGTTGATAATGTAGTATAAACATTACAAACACCTCTCAAAATACAACAATTCACAAGGGCAACTGCAAAGCTCTGAAAATTTTAAAAGCACTAATTCCCAGTGTATTTATTCAGAAACTCTGGTTTTCCCTTTGGCTAGATAACTACATACACTACTCCCTTTTCCTCCCACACAAGGTGAGTAACAAAGAAGGCTTTTACTTTTTGCTTAATTCTATTTATTCTTCCTACATTTCATCCACACATATAATGTGTATCTTTAATCGTATTCTCTTCATCATGTTATCCCCCCTTCCTCTCCCAAAGAACTTTTCTTCTTCCCAACAAATTCCTCCCCCTCTACCTTCATGTGTGTGTGTGTGTGTGTGTATGTGTTTAAGCACACACATCCCATTGTAACTAATCTGGGTTGCTTGAATGAGCATGAGTAAAATACTGCTTACAAAAGAAAGGAAAGTTTACTGGTGGCTCCATCACTGAGGAATGTGACACTTCCCCCAACAACTGAGAATTGCCTGTAAGTGTTCAAGGAATTTACAAAGTCTCTTTCAAAAGAATTTTATACAATACACTTTTTTTGCACATGTCTGGGTATGTGATATGCACATGTGTGTGAAGGCCCAAGAATGATGTTGAGTCTTCCCTAAATTATTCACCACAATACTGACACAGAGTCTCTCAATCAGACCTGAAACTTACAGTTTCAACAGATTTACCTAGCCAGCTTGCTCTGAAGATCCAGTATTGCTTTCTGAGTATTGGAATTATAAGCATGTCACTGAAGTCTGAACTCTAGTCTTTTAGCCTACTTGGTAAGAAATTTAACATTTAGATATGTCCCTAGCTCCTAGAACACTTCTGAACTAAGCAACACAGAAATAAAATAACAGAAAGTTGGGAACTCACCATTGCAATAAAGCGACCAATAAAACAGAAGTATGAAAGATGATCAGGATTTATGGTTGATGCTGGATTTATCTGTAAACAATAGTTATTCTTGCCTGCATACTCAAATAAGCAATACATTGGGTTCAAAACTTCATGGGAAAGCAAGAAAAACCATTCTCTATAAGAAAATAAGTCAAGATTACTTTTAGTATTCACATATATGTGGATTTTTAAAGGTCTTAAATATATTAAAAAATAAATGTGTACATGCCCACACATACATGGGTGTGCGCACACACGCACGCACACACACACACACACACACACACACCTACTCATTTCTTAGCCCTCCTCCATTTATATTTTATGATCTGGCTTTCCTTTCAAAGCCACAACTAGTTCTAAGCAAACTACAAACTCAGGTTTCCTCATGGGTATGTTCTTTTCTACATCAAATTTTTATTTGGGTATCTTTCTTCAACTTCAATTCAACTTATGTAGATTACACTTTTTCTCAATTCACACTTCAATCCTATCTCAGCAATTTTTGAAGCAATTTCAGAGTATAGTACATATCTGTTATTGCATTTATTGTGCAAAAACAATCTGAAAATATATTTTTATGCATATTAACCTCTAAGGCAAAAGCCATGTCTATATATTTCAGTATTCGTAACTCTTATAGGCATTCTATAATATATATTTAACAAGCTTTTTGTTATGTGTTGGGATTTTTTTTTTTGGTTGATGCTGGAAATGTAATCCAGGACTTCATGCATGCTAAGCAATGGATGAAGCACTGAGCTATACTCTGAGCCTCCATTACAGGTTCTAGAAAACATCTGATGGTGACATTCCAACACATACACTGCTGCTATAAAACAGTGAGGTGTTGTTTTTTTTTTAAAGTTAAGGTCTTACTTCACAGTTCAGGCTAATCCGGAACTTGATACATAGTCCAGGCTAGATTTGAGATGATAGCAATCTTCCTGACACAGGCTCCTAAGGGAATATATATGTGCCTTTTACAGAACAAATATATTTAAAATGTTGCAAAAATTAAAAAGTGAAATATTTAAATGTGCTTACTAACTTTTAACTGCCTATTATAATAATTTTTAACACAAAATAAACACTTACAAAATGTTCTAAAGAGGGATTCCAAACTCAAATATTTACTATGATCATTGTGAGTTCATGAGGCTTTGCCTTGCCACAATCCCAATTCTTCATTATAAACCTGATAATAAATATTATTGGCTTTAAGGAAAGAAAACTTTTAGGCACAGTAACAGTCTTCATACAATGGTTGTAGTAGACAGTGTTGGGTACTATCTATTGTAGTGAGTGCATGCTATCCTAAAGGACTCAGCCAATCAGTTCCAGTAAAAGCATAAATTTGAGTATACTGTTGTTAAAGAAAAGCCAGAATTGTTGTTGTTGTAATGGTATTGTTCTTTATTTTATATCTTGAGATTGGCCTGGAACTTGTTAGGCAGACCAGGCTGGTCTCAAATGAAAACTGTCTGCCTTTGCCTCCTGAGTGCTGGGATTAAAGCTATCACATTTATCTCAAGAAAAGACACAATTTTAATTCTTCATCTCAATCTGGTAATTTGTGTGATACTATCAAGCAATTTGAAAGATTTTAAGTCATCACAGGTCACGTCTATGCTGGTTCCTATAGTCTCCTATTTTGTTAAATGTTTAATAGAGCTTTTAAAACATTCCCTGAAAACACCTGAAGGGTACAGAAGACAATCGCTAAACAAAATCAACTATGAATTAATGTTAATTCATAGAATTAAATTAAGGCTCAAAATATTAAGTGAACCAAGTAACTTCACTTTGTGATTGGACTGAAGTAAGATATTTTCCTCAAAGAAGAGAAATAAGTAAATCTAGTAAGAATTCTGTGTGCACTCAAGACACACACACACACACACACACACACACACACACACACACACATTTCCAACTGCTCCAGATCACTTTCAGAAAGCAGCAAACCATAAAAAACTATATTGATCTAAAAGAAGAATGGATACATGATAAAAGCCTCTACCCTAATACCAACACAAAAAAGAAGTTCCTAACTAGCAAGAGGCAGAATTGACTTTCAACACAAGCTCAGCTCTGCACTCTCAAACTAGACACATGAGGCTGAAAGAATCATGACCCAATACATAAGAGCTAGCATGGCCTAGAGAAGACAATGAAGAAAACAGTAACACAGCAAATGAAGAAAAATCACATGAGAAGCAGCAAAACATAGGGCAATTCTGCAAATGGTGACATGAAGACAGGTTCCAGAAAACCAAAACAGGAAAAGCACTAGGATCAAATGATAAGTGACAGACACGTAGAGAAAAAGATGTGACACATAAGACTGACAAAGGAGATTCCACATACCCATGACTGATGTTCCTGAAGAAAGAAAAGAACAAATAGAACAGAAAAAAAATATTCAAAGATAAAATAGAAGAAAACTTCCCTGAAATTAAAGTTCTTAATATGTTCCTTTAAAAAAGTCCAAATGCCAGGTGTGGTGGCGCACACCTTTAATCTCAGCCCACTGAAGGGGGGCAAGAAGCAGGTGGATCTCTATGAGTTCAAGGCCAGCTTGGTCTACAGAGTGAGTCCTAGGATAGTCAGGGCTATGTGGACAAACCCTGTCTTGGAAAACAAAACAAACCTAAAGCAAAACAAAACAAACTAACAAACAAAAATCTGTAATGAAACTAGTGTACTTTAAAGACAGTGTGACACCCAGGGAAATTTTCTGACAAAGGTTTGGCCTCATACTGCCTAGTGCTCACATTCAATGCTAAACCAACAGTGAAGCAACCCCTAAGAAAACTGGATAGACAGTGCTGTGCAAGAAATGTCTTTCTAGTGAGGTTGTTGTTTACATAACCAACAAAGAAAATACTTCCAAATATGTAACAACTACAGGAACATATCCCCCATGAACTCTTGAATAAGTACCTCAATGATGAGTCTAACCAATCAATGCATGATCAAGTCAAATTTAGGAGTAACAAACAATGATACACAAGAATCGATTACATGCATTTAAACTGTCCAAACACAGAACTGGAACCAATAACTAAGACAAACAATAGTTCACAAAAGAATGTGAATGTTATCATGTTAGACACTGAGGAAAATATATGTTCTCTCTTTTCTAAGATGTACCCTTCTTTTCAATGTCTGGGCATTTCTGAAATTGAGAAAAACACATTCACAATGCACATAATATGAATTTTCTGGATAGAAGGGCTTACTGAAAATGTATAATAATGTTTTGGATAAAGAAAGAGGCTAATAGAAACACAGACAGACCGACAGCAAGGCTGTGTATCTACTTCTACCAGTTGTGACCTGGGTCTGCATTTCTGTCAGCTATACTGAAATTGTGACTTTCTAATTCTGCAAAATTCTATGAAAATCTAAATTCTTAGGAATACTTAATGCAACTGTTAAACTTAAAAAAAATGCCAATATAGATTTGTTTGAAGCAATTAAGGGAGAAAACAAATAAAAAAAGAATTTACATTAGCTATTACTTCACAAGTATCTCTTAACAACACTGTTAACTTTTCAGTAAAAGCAGAAAATTTCATTTCCAAATAAACTCAGATCAGGGCAAAAGCACAAATAAAAGTGATATGCAATGTTAAAACAGCAAAATTAATAAATAACCTTCTGTAAACCCATTAATTATGCTATACCCATATGTACAACATTATACAATCATCTAGTAAAAGCTTTAGCATGTACAGAAGAAAAATCATAATAGTGGGACCCTGTGATGGCTCAGTGCATAAAGCACTTGCCATGAAGGTAGAACACTCTGAGTTCTCTGATCCCCAGAACCCATGTGTTCTGGGCATGTGGTCATGTGGCCCACCTGTAATCCCAGTACACATGGCATGTGGAGATAGGAAATCCCAGAAAAGGCCAGCTAATCATACCAGCTCAAATGTTGAATTCTAGATTCAGCAAGAGACCATGCCTAAACATATAAGGTAGAAAGGGATAGAGGAAGACACCACATGTCAACCTCAGGCACACACCCCTAGAAAACATTCACCCACGTACACACAAGTGTACCATACTCATGCAAGTACACATACAAGCATACCACACATATATACATATGCAAAAAAGTTGAAATAATGGTTACCCAAAATAACTCTGGTTCCTACTGGAAAAAGTAAATTAATATATTCATGTATCTTTTAAAGAACACACCCACTGCAGATGACAAGACAGATTTATTACAAAGCATTAACTTTTTAACTTTACCTTGCAAGGCCACCATAATCAAGGCCTTCTTCTCCTCTAAATATTACATATAGTCGCCTCCTTAAGTCATATGGTTTTAATGCCATGATCTAATTAAAGACAAAAGTGTGAATATTTAAACATTTTTACACTGTATAAGCTACTTCCAAAATAATTCAATTTAGATTTAATCTGTATTTTCAAAAGTATACACATTTCAATATCTCATATTTAATTCTGCAGCTCATCTGGTTTGTTCCATAATCCAGCTAAAAATGGACATTCCTTCAAGTTTCTCTGACTCACTTTCATATATTCTTCCCTGTTCTACTATTAAATGGTTCTACTTAGAGTTAGTGGTAGGAGAGGACAAGTTAGATTACATTTTCCCTCCTTCCCCTCCTTGAGCATTATACTCTTTCAACATGTGGCTGGTAAGCTTTTCTCTGCAGCAATATTCTAAGGTGAAAGGTCTTTTTGAGTCCCACCTACTCCACATCTTCTAACTCTCAAGAGGATAGAAATTCAACTGCAACTCTTACACAACGATATATGTGTGTGTGTGTGTGTGTGTGTGTGTGTGTGTGTGTGATATACATACAACAGTAGGTCTTAAAATAAGATCAAAATAATTGCTATAATCTATAAGTTTCTTGGGGATAAAAATTTATATCTACTATTATTCATCAGAACTGCAGCCAAGACAGGCAGGTCTGAGTTCAAACACAGCTCACTAATAGGACTCCCTAGGAAGCAATTATGAGCTTACCCTATATGTGAACAGACTAAAGACAGGAAAAGTAAAACAATAACTAACTTGAACTTAGATACACAGTTGCTAAAAGCAATTCAAATACAGCTCCAAACAAGCCATTTGTAAAAACACACTTGGAAACTTGACACAATTATTTGGCTCAGATTTAGTCACTCATACACAAAAGCAGTTGTGATTATAGCTACAACAGCTATCTTTTCTAAGGCTTAACAACAGCTAGTAAAATGAGCGTATGATATTAAAAATGTCTCTAGAATTTCAGCATTACTATTCCATTTTAACCAGTACAAAAAAAAAAAAAAAAGAATAATAACATCAACCAAAATGGCGTAATAACCCATAGGGTGCCAGTAGTAGCAAACATACCTTGATGGTAACCAACAGCTCTGCAATTGGACCTAAGACTGCCTCAACGAGAGGGATATCATACCTGGTACTGGAAACCTAGCCAACTACCGAGCACTCATGAAGTCACAGATCCCGGAAGAGAACCTCTCCACTAAACCAGCATAATCTCTAACTACATTATAAATATTTGTTCTAAAACCTACAGGTAAGTGTAGTTCTCACCCTTCATCCAAGAGTGTTCTTTTTTGCAACTGAGACTATTACAAAACACAACTACTTAAAATGTAGAGTGGTGGAGCCCAGTCCCAACTGATACGTTTACAAAAAAACTTCCACACCTAAGACACAGAGAAGATTTCAGAAAAGGGGTCAGAAAGATTTTAAGAGCCAAAGGATCAAGGAGTATATTGTGAAATTGTTTCTCCTAGAAATCTTAGCAGCTACACCCATGAGTTTCAAAACATGAGTGCCTAACCATGAGTTAAAACAAGGAGGACACGAAGGGACATGCTATTATGAACTGGGAAGGTTCTCAAGGCCTCAGAACTATACAAAGAACTACAGGCAACTAAGGAATGTGGAGAGCAGGATAAATAGTCTTCCCTAGGGAAGAGCATACCAATTGGCTATTTAATACCATATGCTCATCCATAAAAACATATACATTCCAATACCATTATACAAAATAAACAGTTGCATTCATGTATTTATGGTGATATACTGTTTATGATTGATTAAGGCTTGCCTAAGGATTCAGAAATGCAAGTCAACCACAAGCTATAGAAGCCAGAAGCTTCTCAGCAGCCAGAAGCTAGGAGGTGGTGATACACAATTCCTGGGTCTCAGGATTAAGAGAGAGATGCGCTCCGTGAATTCAAAGCCACCCAGATCTACACAAGAGTAATCAGTCTAAAAGAGAATTATAGCTCACACCTTTAATCCCATCATTAGGGAAGTACATTCTCAGAGAGGCATTCATTCTCCAGCCACTCTGAGGAGAGGCAAGCGTGGTGAAGAGCTTATGCGTGGGTCAGTCCTTTCAGCCTGAGCTTGAGGTAAGAGCTATCGGCTAGCTTATTTGCTTTTGAACCCCAATATCAGTCTCTGGTTCGCTTATGCTTTATGTTACGTGTATGAATATATGAATATTATATAGCAATTAGTGAAAAAAGAGGCCATAAATTTGAAAAAGAGGCAGAAAGAGTATGAAGGGGTATATGGGAGAGTATGGAGGGAGGAAATGGAAGGAGAAAATGATTTAATTATAATCTTAAAAATAAAGGAAATACCGGAAAAAAATTAATGACTCATATTTGTCTACACAAGAAAATTGACAGTCATTACTTTAGCGAGTGAAAGGTCATGAAAACTTCTCGACTTCTCCATTGTACTGATTCATCAGTATTTACTGGATAACTGTTCATGAAAGGCACTGTTCTAGGTACTGACAAAGGGTCAAGTAAACCAATAGTTTATATCCTCATGAAGCAAAATTCCATCCAGTAAGGGAAATGGGGAGCAGGCAGTGTCATGAAAATGAAATGACCGTATGAGAGAAAAGCAGGGACGGTTATTTTAAACAACATGCTCAGGCTAGATGAAACACAATAGAGCCTAGATGTCAGAATGAACATAAGAGTTACTAATGGAATATTCAAATGGATTTATAATATCCATCAAATTGATTTGTTAGCATTTTACAAGTTTTACAGATAGTAAAACAGACTTACTCCAAATGTTGTTCAAACTTTATTTTAGTAATACACCTAAATTATTTCATTTATCTATTTATTTGTTTGCTGGTTGGTTGGTTTTTAAGACAGACTCTCACTATGTCACCTTATGTGACTAGGAATTCAGAGATCTACCTGTCTCTGCTTTTAGAATGCTGAGATTAAAGGCATGTGATACCACACCTAGCTACTCCTAAATTCTTCATTGTTCTAGTCTCCCACCTTTACCTATAAAATGGAGATTGTGGTAGGAGTTCTCTCACAGAGATACTGTGAGGAGGAAAGAAAAAGCAATTAAAAAATTGTCAGCAAATGTCAAACAATCATGACTTATTATATGGTAAAGTCTAATTTAAATTTATGTATATGAATGCTTTAACTCCATGTATGCCTCTAGCCCACATAATAAAGTTTAGTATAATTACTAATGTAATCACTCAAGAAGTAAGGCCTATTATAAATGCTTAAAGACTCAAATGCTTTTAACTCCCTTTAGAAGCACAGAATAAAATAAGACAAGTAGTACTGTTTGGTTTTGGTAATACCTTCCTTACCTGTTGGAAGGAATCTTCAAATAAGGTCTGTCGGGACACATTGATCTTTACATGACTGGGTAGTGCATTAGACTAAAAATAAAAATATCACAGCATATAAGCCACGGCATATATATTCCGTAACTATCAGACTAAATGATTATAAATGAGATTTATTTACCACTGTAGTACATGGCACAAGTATCACAGCATATAAGCCACGGCATATATATTCCATAACTATCAGACTAAATGATTATAAATGAGATTTATTTACCACTGCAGTACCTGGCACAAGTAACGGAAGTGAGCAAGCTTCCACCTAAAGCTGCGTTCGTACGCAATCTGTGGACCACCTTTAGTTCTAAAAAGAAGCATAACAAATAACACTGTAATAAGTATGAAACAGTGTGTGTCACATTATAATATGACTAAGGAAAGCTGTCTACTGGCAATAAACACAGGTGTATTCATTAGGACAATGGAGGCTTGAGACATGAACGTGGTCCCATCAGCAGAACACATGCACAGAGAGACACTCCAAGTAGGGACAGGTCAACTGAGAAGTCCTTAGTTTATAGAATGCCTAGACTACTTAAAATTATGTTGGATAATTCTTTTTTTTTATTTGTAAAAAACTACAAGCAGAATTCTGATGATTCTTAAAGCTGAGGAAGTCAAGGATTCTAGATAAGGGGAACAGGAGGAAAAAAAAAACCTAGACCTTATCTTAAATCTGATGTGAACAAAAACAAAGCAAAGCATAAATAAACAGTTCTTGGAGCAAGTTACATGTAGATCATTCGGCTCAGCTTGTGAGGCAGACACCAGAGTCAGCTGAAAATGAGGCCCGCTTCTCCTGCCTAGAGCGTCTTAACAAAAAATAAAATACAAAGAACTTAAGGAACTTTCATGGTAGAGTGAACATAAACTTCTGCTGTCACACTCAGGGAAGTTCATTCATCCAGGAAAATTTACCAAACACTTAACAGGGACCTGCTATTCTTCTAGACAGTGAAAGCATTACTTGCTAAAAACATGGGAAAAAGTGGCTGTTTTATGTATAATGCACCACCGAAGGAAATAGATAAGAATGAAAAGGTAAGCTATATGTTGTGTGTTTTAAGAAAATGAATGACTTATTACTTCTTACAGAGGACTTGTTAAAAGAAAAAATAAACAGGAAAATAATAATATAATACCTCTCTCAAAGGACATGGGAAGATAAAAATGAGCTAACATATCTAAAATGCTTAGAACAATCTTTGGCCTATAGTAATTATTACACACATATATGCCATTGTTATTATATAAAATAACACACACACACACACATATATATATGTATGTATATACATATATATAAAATGTGTATATATTATTAAATTAAGGAATGGTATACCACAAATCCATTCTGGAATTATACAGAGCTAAAAAAGTTATAGTTGGATATTACTTGTGCATGTTTTCTTGAACCAAAATTGGCTTGCTTCTAAATTTGGGAGCTGCATTAGAGAGTAAATCTCCTGTATTCACTAAGTAATATTTTTAATGTTTGGGTTTCCACTTACACAGATGATTTCCCATTGCGAGGATCTTTGAATGTTGTTGTTCTTGTGTTATGATCAACAAAGTACCTAACACCTTCCCGAGTATACCTGATTTCCCAGCCTTCTGGCAGGGGTTCTTCATTTGGTAAGCTGTAAGATAAAAAAAAAAAAGAATCACAATCATATAGTGGGTATGTTTCAGGTACTTACAGCCCACTGATTCCATCCATCCATCATGTATGATAACTTAAGACTTTACTATACACATACCCTTGAGTTCTGGGGTCTTCCCATTGGGTTGTTTTTGTATTATGATTCACAAAGTAAACTCTGTCTGTTGAATCCACTCTTTTTTCTAAAACATAAAGCACAAATAACATTCAATCACAATTTGATACCTATATACCTTACATATATTTTTATAAATATCATATCAGCTTACCCCAGCCTGGTGGTAAAGGTCCATATGGATCATTTTCTGCAGCTAACATTGAAGCCTGGTTGAAAAAGAGGTTGCAGACAGAGATTAGATAGCAGTTTTAGCCAGAAGTATACTAATACACTAAGCAATTAACAATTATATATATTTTTAAAAAACATTATAAAGGAATATGAATACAATAATTTCAAGAAACAGAGTCCAAAAATATGAACAACAGTCATGAGCTTATATAATTATTAGAAAATGATTTAGAAATAATGTAGTAATATCAATAAGCAATTTCCTAGTCCTTTCTAAGGAGTGAGAGGAGATAGGTGAACAGTATATAGAGATTATGCCATTTAAATGAGACATTATTATTTGTTCAAAAACAGAAAAATCATTATAATATAATTATTCTGCAAAATAATTATTCAATGGTAATATATACACATCTTGATGAATATTTGATAGTACTGCCACAGACAGTGCTAATTGTATTCATTATCCACCTTTATCTTGTTTTTCTTGATAATATAATCACTAGCTTTGTTTGAGGTAAAAATGTGCCCATAAGGAGTCCACGGAATCTGTGACCAATTCTGGCCAATGAGGCAGAAGCAGGAAGGCTCCCTTTGCTAAACTGCTAAGCAAATATGCAGGTGCTTGCTAAGTACAAGGGCCTGCTACAGAAAAGCTCTCCCCTTTCAGTTTACCCTTCCCTTTCATGGCAGAGACGCTGGAAATCAGGCCAAGGGCAGCAGCCCTTTATGGTCAAAAAGCAGACAAAGTGCATGGCAATAGCAGCTGCAAGAAAGATGCACGGCAATTGCCGGAATAGACGGTGAAGGTAATGAGGATGACAATGGATGGTACAAGGAAAGACGCACGGTAAAAGATGGTACTCGTAAAACGCAGTGGTGGTGCAGGTAAGGGGGGTGATAACAGACAGTGCAGGTAAACTGCATGAAACAGATGGTGCAGACAAAGTGCATGACAACAGATAGTGTAGGCAAGAAACATGATAACAGATGGTGCATGCAAGATGCATGGTAATAGACGATACCCTAAAAGGCAGAATTCAGCTGCTTGATGGCACTGCAAGCCAGAGAATGATTCTTTTTTTTTTAACTTTAATTTTTTTATTTCAAACTTTTACTATTTAAAAACAAAACCACACACCAAAATTAATATGATCCAAAAACTATAGATCTCAGTATACATCTATATAGTTAGAGTAGTCTTTTGGAACAGAAGCTGTAGAACTTCACATTAGATTTCATTTTTTCACTATCAAATACATTTTATTCATTTACCCAGCATCAAAAATTAAAATATCTGTGAATTAGAACTAGAAAAACAATGATATTCTATTTCATAATTCATGTTCATTACTGAGTTCAATCTTCACCCCCTAACATTTAGCTGTTTTTATCTTCATGTTTGTTCATGTCATGCTATACCCCATGTACATCTGTTTACACCTATACATATATTATTGGCTAGATGCTACACGTGACAGAAAACATGTGGTTTCACTTAGCACTAAACATTCTAAGTCCATCCAATTTCTTGCAAATTAACATTTTTACAATCACTGTTGGAAGTGTGTTTTATCACTTCTATCATATGCTTCTGGTTACTAGAATGTGAGTACTGCTGAGTATTGACCACCAGAGAAAATCTGGAGACTGGTTTCACAGAATGCTCAGCAGTAACCAAACATCAGGCTGAAATTTCCTGTGAGGGCAGAAAGTTCCTGAGACCATGAAGGGACTCTGGCTAGCCTGAGCATGGCGAGTTGACTGTAGCAGGCCTTGCCCTTCTCCCCCCTGCCCTCTACCTTGCTAAAAACTATTAGATTACTTTCCTAAAGTTAGCCACCAAGGGCTATTCCCTTATTTGGCCACTCCCTTCTCCCAAAGCTAACTACCAAGGTCCAGCAATAAAAAGCCCCCTTTTGATTGAGAAAAAAAAAAGCTTCCTTTGTGTCACCTAATTAACATACCCAATTACAATGAAACACCTCATCCTACCATGGGTTTCCCCTTGTACCTTTATTACTTTATTACTATCTGTTCATTTTGTTGTCTTTTACTGTTCATTTCCAGAGAGTGATTCTTGTCCCCACCCTGGTATTCTATTGAAGTAGCTTAATTTGCATCCATTAAGAGGATGGTGCTACTTAGCAGAAAGTACTTTGATACATACCCAACCCCTAATTTTGTCCTGTTTACAAACTTTCATGCACATAAAGTCCTACACAGAACAAAACAAATGTACTAAATACAGGATGAGCACCCTAATCCAAAATCTAAAATATTCCAAAGTCAGACAAATTTCAGGAATACTTATTCATTTAAACAAACCAGAAGTAATATTAAAGATTAATCAAAAATAAAATGAAGCAAGCAAACCATTCAAATGTAGTCTACATATTTTAGTAAGGAAAAGGTAGCATTAACACCTCGTAGTTTGCTAATTACCGAATAGAGGTATCGTTGGTTGAATTGTTGCATAGCTCCCTGCAATTGATTCCGCTGAGATTGCCACTGTTCAAAATTTCGAACAGATTCCATGGTAGGCCTCTGCCAGGTGGTTGTTCTGGTGTTATGATCCACATAATAAACTCTTCCACGATCATCAACTCTTCTTTCCCATCTACCACAAATAAGCAATAAAAATCAAGCAATGAGTCATCTCCTGATAAATTAAAACATACATATTTTTACTTATCTACTGGCATGGCTAGGGATGGATCCAGGCAAGTGAGCACATTAGGTAAGTTCTCTACCTGCTGAGCTACAACCCAATCTTGATCTTTTGAGACAAGGTGAAGCTATGTAGACCACACTGGTCTTAATCTAGTGAACCAGTTGGCTTTCAACTCACAATTCTCCTGACTCTCTCCCTCAAGTGCTAGGATTGCAGGAAAATGCCATTATGTCCGGCTATTTTTATTCTTCAAAAGTGGACATGAATCCATGAAGTATTTATCTTTGCTAAATTCCTATTTTATCACAGAAAGACTTACTCCTTGCTTCTTCCCGAGAAACAATTTTCAGGGATGCTGTCAGAAGGAACTTATCTACCTTTTCAGTTTCATTTCCCATAGTCTCTCAGAGGCCTCATAGGGGAACCCAACCAGTGAGCTGTTGGTCCCCAAGCGTGCCTTGTGTGCCATCCTGCCAAGCCACTCTTGTAACTCCAGAAGAGCACAGGACCTGTTCTACATCTCTTATCAACCAGAAGGAAAGAACTCAGTACTTGGTCCTATGGAATTAATTGAGAACTTATCACTGGAAAACGTAAATGTGGTGTTTCAATATAGCACATCTGAAGGCTCATTTTAAATAAATAGGATTACCATGTTATAGTCATTCATTTAATCCATCCATTGAGAACCATAGCATAAAGTCTATTTCACTAAAACTATTGTCAAAAATTATAGCAACTATTCTTAAATTCTTATTTATAAATATTATATTAAATTTAAAAGTTATACACAATAAAAAATATAGCAAAAGACACATAAAGGCAATGAATGTATTACCCTGGAGGCAAAGGCTGTGGTCTCTCCCATGTGGTAGTTCTAGTATTATGATCCACATAATAGGTTCTACCATGAGGATCTTTTCTCTGTTCCCACCTATAATAAAAGTATAAAAACAGAAGTAAAAAAATCTGAAAATGTTCTAGAATCAGGAACATTACAAACAGGCTCTATTTTACAAAGTCCACACATTCATAACATATAAACACACACACGCACACGCACACACACATACTTTTTTTGTTTTTGTTTTTTTCCCCAAGAGGTTTCTCTGTGTAGCTCTGTCTGACCTCAAGCTCACAAAGATCCACCTGCCTCTGACTTCTAAGTGCTGGGATTAAAAGCATGAACCGCCACTGACAAGCAATAAATATATTTAACCTCTTAATTATTGCTTCTTCATAATAGAACTGGATAAATAACTGTAGTAAAAAAAAGAGTATAGAATACTTAAAATTTTAAATTTTTCCAATTTACACTCTTCCAAATTAGCAGAAAAGAAAAATAATCAAGAATGAAATAATCTCAGCACTAAATGCCAATGAATAATATCCATTTTGTCTTTGGCTTTAAAATTGTACATCTAAAAGTTGTTTTTGCAGAAGCACCTTAAACATGTGATGGTACTGTCCCTGACAACTCTGCCACCTCTGTGCACACAGGTCACTGTGCACACAGGTTACTGTGCACATCTATCCCACTCCTTATTTTGGTAGTCCTTTGAATGAACATTACAAACTTATCTTTTCCTGAAATCCTCTCAATCTATTTTCCCCACTTTGATTTTCTTTCTTTCTTTCTTTTTTTTTTTTTTTTTTGGTTCTTCATTTCTTCTTCTCTGCTATTTTCTCAATATGATATATAGGAAAGTAAAAAAAATTAAAATTAAAACTTTAAAATAAAAACATAGTCCTAACAGCTAGTTTTCATGGTGCTGGAAACTGTCACGTAGGTTGCTTAAGGAGAAAAGACATCAACAGTCGTACCCAGCACTGGACCCTGAATGCTAATACCAACCTGCCAGATAAAATGTGCCCACTGGTCGGACAGTGTTAGACCATTTATCAGCTATGCTCTTGATTGGATTTCAGGCTTGCTCTATTGAAGGGAACTCATGCCTGGCATTGTAAGCTGGTCAAAACTCATGGATAGGACAGTCATAGTCCCTAGAGAAGAACCCACTGATGCTGTTTGTAACAGTATCATGTTGTCTAATTGCCTACTACATACCTATATTTACGTACATAAACTTGTACTATTTGAAACTGTGACCAGAGAAACTTCTTAATGCAGAGTGTAATAGTTACACAAAGCCTTATAGCCATTCAAAGTGCTAAGTGACTTCTCAGGTGTAGAAGGACATCTCTATCAACCCCTCTTGTTAAGGCTCAAGGAACATTATGGAAGGGGGCACATGGGCAAAGAGTGCTTTGAAGTGCTATCCTCTGGATATGTCATGGCTGTTGCACACACTAAACTCAGTGGCAAAGTTACCTGTTTAATATCTGCACAAGAGCAAGTCAGTGAAAACTTTAACATGGAATGGGGCGGGGTTTCCAAGGTTCCACCCCCAGTTGGGGAACTACTTGTAGTTGACAGTAAATCTATAAAAAGTAGGTTGAAGAAGCCATGTTGAGCAAGGCAGTAGGCAGCACCCTCCAAGGCCTCTGTATTAGCTCTTGCCCCATGTACATATAGTCAGCATTAACTGAACTCAGTGGGGTAATAGAGGAGAAAAAGGAGGACAGGAAATTGGGAGGGAGCTGTACTGGGAGGATGGTAAAGCTAGAGGGGGGTGGGAGGAATATGACTAAGGTGCATTATATACCTGTATAAAACTTTCAAACAATTAAAAATTCTCATGTTTCTGCAATTCACCTTCATTCCCAATTTTAAAGTAAAACAAATTTAAACACAGGAATCCAACTTAATTTTAACTGTCAGAGAAGCCTTCAGTTATTCTATTCATTTACTTTCCTTCTGCTGTCTTCATATACCATATAACATAGTTATTTCCTAAGACTAGATCATGTCTATACATTCATACTTAAAAATAACATAAACACAAATTCATTCAATAATTATTTGTCACAACTAAGAAAACTGTCATAGAGACCATTCTACATGGAGGGATGCTCTCGCAGCTTGGACACAAGGGGAACGGCCTAGGCCCTGCCACAGATGATATGACAGATTGGAGATTCCTCCATGAAGGGCCTCACCCTCCCTGGAGAGTGGAGTGGGGATTGAGTAGGGAGCTAGGGGGAGTGGGAGAGGAGGGGAGGGAAAGGGAGCTGGGATTGACATGTGAAGCAAGCTTGTTTCTAATTTAAATTTAAAAAAAAAGAAAAAATGTATAAAGTTTAAAAAAACTGTCATAGAATGCTCAGGTAATACCCATGAACAATAAAGATCCCCAATTTTCTACTTACACTAAAACCATAGAAATTATCAAATTATCAAGGCATATAATACTATACCAACATTCATGCTATTCTGCATTTCAAAAACACAAACTCTTGGAGCATATCAATAAAATAAATGACATAAAATTTTAATTTGCTTATTTTGTTCCTTTTTAGAAAAAGTTCATAGGAAATATTTAAATAGAGAACTTAGATTTCACAGGCATTTCAGGAATACCTAAACATACACCTCAGGCCATTTAACACTTAACAACCAAAACTAGGGGCATTTCAGGTGACCAGTCAGCAACAGTACTTTTGCTATTTTTTAGTAATGATTTCTAAAATCAGTCCTTTTTGCAATACTCTCTGGTTTCAAAATGCACACTTTATTGTTTTAAATATAACTTTGATTTTTATCAGAATGATATACACTTTCAAATAGTTTACAATACCTTCAGAGTTAAATGAACTCATACAGTCTATGGGTCACACAGCTCAAACAAATACACCTTCTGCTCCTCCCCCATCACTTTATAATCTCATCTCCATGACAACATTTTCAAACCATTTGTACAAGCTCTGGTATTTACCTCTTTTCTTATTAACATGCTTAACTTCACGCTACTTAATTTCAAGTAAAATGTATTGACTTCTAAGACCACAGACCTCTTTTCTGAACACCTAAAACATTTAACACCTTCTTCCAACCACACTAACATCCTTCCAACTATACAACTGGTTACTGAACTCTGGTTCATATGCAAATAACCTAATAAAATTTTTAATAAATCCTAGTTTCCTCAGCACTTATGGTAAATTTGTTTCCAGCTTCTGTTGACTCTGACAAGTTTTTCTGCTGACTCTGACAAGCTTGTTGCTATTCTCATTGGCATAACACCAGATTTGTTTTGCCCTTTAACAAAATCTCTGGGGAGTGGAGAGATGGCTCAGCAGTTAAAGGCACTGGTTCAGGACCTGGGTTTGATTCTTAGCGTCTACATGCTGGCTCATGATCATCTGCTAACTCCAGTTTCAGGAGATACGAGACTCCCTTCTGGCCTCCACAAGTACTGCATGTATGTATTGTGCACATGCAAGCAAAACACCCATGTACATAAAGCAAAAAAAAAAAAAAATCTCTGGAAGAACTTGAGATTTCTTTTGGTAGTAACAAGAAGACACACTATAGAATAAAACACTCACAGTGAATAATTTAAAATATGCCTCTTTCACTTATCATCAAGAGTTTTGGTAACTCTTTTCTCTTAGGGTTTTCCTGAAACACCTAATGTTTCAACTTGATTTGTATGTTACATACTTAACATTTTGTTCTATTAGCTGGCAAGTTTACCTTTATCAACTAAAGCTTCTACTGAGTTACTTTTCCTGGGGGCCTTAAGTTCTTTAAGCATTCATTTTACACAATACCTGGCTATGCATGTGACAGCTTTTCTTATCCTCTGACAATATTAAAGTAGCCTCTTTTCTTCAAGCAGCACTTTCTTTTTAAATTAATTTTTAAAGTTTATTATATCAACATTGTGTGTGTGTGTGTGTGTGTGTGTGTGTGTGTGTGTGTGTGTGTGTGCAAGCCACTGGGTGCATACGGAAGTCAGAACAGAACTTGTGGGGGCTGCCTCTTTCCTACCACCATCAGGGATTTCTTGTTGCCAGGTTTGGTGGCATCTGTTAAGCCCTCAAGTAGCATTTTTTTATACTGACTATTTTGTCCCCTTTTCACATTACAAGGTTTCCCTCACATATTTAATGAGTAAGGTTCTAAAACACAGATTATGGGTTACAATATTAATTAAAGGTGATAAGAGATACTGCATTGTAGCTTTGTTAGAAAACAACAGGCATTTACAGTCTTCAGGGGCAGGCTATCTTGACTAGAAGTCACTTCAAATTTCCTGGGTAGCAAGGTGAAATCCTACTTCTAAGTGTACTGGGATTTCTCTGAGAAAGACAGGAAGCATGTTGGAAACTTGGTAAGTTTCTTTATTCATCAGCCTCATAAAGTTCTCGTCCATCCTGACTTTTTCAATGCACCTGGTATTGCCAGAAAAGAAGCCCCTCTACAGAGCAGCAGACCTAACTCCAGGGAGGAAGACTAAAGATTTTCTTCTTTAACTTTTCTTTCTTTTTTCATTCTGTAGTATAAGGATTAAACCTAGGGCCTAGCAACACAGGTGCTCTGACATTGAACTATGTACATCTCCAACCCCTTTAAAATTTTATATTTTAAAGGCTCATCTTAACTTCCAATCTCCTGCCTTAGCCTTCCAAGAAGATGGGACTAGCAGGCTTGTGCCACAAAACCCAACTGTAAACTGACTTGACTCTGGTTCATTGTTTATAATGTCATCTCCAGCACAATATGTCATGGTGATACTATCGGCTGAGCCTTCTCTAAGAGCCTGTGTTCACATGGAGCTTACTCACCAGCAGCCCCGAGATCAGTAGTGTTGGGGTGCTAAGTCAGGCACATTTATGAGTCAGCCCCCACTGGAGCTTCAGTGTCAGTTCAGAAGGACTCTAAGGAGAAGGACCCTGATAGGCCATTTCCTGATCTCTGGTCATCAGACTGTGGTTTTAAACTGCCAAATTTTGAAGTACTTATGGCTTACAGCCAGCTTAAGAACACCACTGTAAGTGATTCTGTAAAATATGCTTTACTCTCTGTTGCCTTAACTTTGGATCATTTTATGTAGATAAGTAGTTGACCTATGCATTGATCTGGGAAGTTTGGCAAGCATGCTAATATTTGTATTACTTCCCCAGAGACATTAAAACTAAGTTCTGGATCTCTTCTTGCCCTCAAATAATACTGTATTTAAGCACCATGGTAAAGATGTATTTGAAGAAATGACTAGTAGTAGTAATAATAAAAATAATCTGGAGCGAAGGGGTAACCTCCAGCAAATGAAAGAGTTTATTGAGTCTGGTCAGCTCCACCTACCATTCTTTTTAAAAAAGGTTTTACTATTATTTATTTAAATGTATGCATTTGTGCATGTGTGCATATATGTACACCTGTGTGGAGGTCCCCAAAGGGACCAGAACAATATGTTAATGACCTGAAGATGGAGCTATAGGTGGATGTTAGATGCCTGATATGGGCACTGAAAACTGAACTTGGGTCCTCTGGAAGAACACAGTGCTCATAATCACTCAACCATATCTCCAACCCCTCCCCCCCAAAAACTCGGAATTGACTTTTTACATTTATTTGTGCATGTGGTTATGCATGCATGTATTCATGCCTTCACCCACCATGCCATCTTGCCCACCTAGCACTTCACCACTTCCACAGGATACATGAGTATAAATAACTCTATTTGACTATCACTGTGAGTCATGTAGACAAAGCTAAGGCATCCTTCATTACCTTATCTTACCCTAAGTACCTTCTTTATCATTCCCGAACACACACTCTGGTCACCAGCTGCAGAGGTCACTCTCGGCAACTCTCAGGTTCCACTGGTAGAATCTTACCCCTAAAATGGTAGCTCCGCAAGTTGCTTCCCCTGGGACCCACTGACAGAAGAGGGAAAAGGAGCACACTAGGACTTAGGATGTCCTGGGCAGTTAGTGAAATTGGCCAGGTTCTCCTATGGGCCAGGAGCTCTTTGACCTCAGACTGTCATCTGAAAGGGCAAAGAAGGGAACTGATATCCAATACACCCACAATATGTAGTGTTCTACCCCAGGCAGAACGGTTGAAGCAGTGTAGGTATTTTATCTCTTTTTATGTCAGTACCTAAATAATATTCTTAATTATGCCTCCTGACCCTCAAATCTTAAACTAGTTACTATTTAGCACTGTACCAGTTTGCCCTGATGCATAGAATGTACAAAATTATAAATAAATCACTCAAAGGTGGTTCTTTTGTTTTGTGTGGCAAACAAATTAGTTTAAGGAAGATGGACTACAGTGGAAGACAGTGATAAGATTTTTTAGACCGCCTGACTTTTCTCTCTCTCTCCCCTAACACAGGCCAGGCCCCTTTGCTGCTTTCCCTCTCCAGTGAGGCACAGGCTACATTACTGATGTACTATATCCTCAGCTTGGGAGGCTGAGGGAGAAGGGCTCTGTGTTCAAGGTCAACTTGGGCAACACAACAAGTAAATTACCACAGAAGGGAGACAAACGACAAAGCTTTCTGAAGGAGGGGTAGAGAACAATGTCTGCAAAAACATGAGAGGTCTATGCAGAAGGCACAAACTAAACTGAGAGCAAGTTCTGACCTGCACATAACGGTACAAAAGCTAAAATGATAAGATTTACTATGGAAGCACACGAAGATCATGGTCTGAAACCACAATTACACAATGTTAAAACCAAATGAACCTGTAAAAGCACTGAGAAAAAAGTTTCAAAAATAGGAAAGAAGTCTGAACACAGTTCTGTGATGAGCAATCAAATGAATAAGGAAAATCAGAGCCAGCTAGGTAGTTTCAAAGGCTAGAGTCAACATTCTAATTACTGACACTGTGTTGAACATTGATGTGGTGATTTGAATGAAAATGGCCCCTGTCGGCTCACATATGTGGATGCCTGGTTTTCAGTGGACTGTTTAGGAAGGATTAGAAGGTGCAGCCTTGTTGGATGAGGTCACTGGGAATGAGCTTTGAGGTTTCATAAGCTCACACCAGGCTCAGGTTCACTCTTTTTCTGCCCACTGCTTATGGATCAGATGTGAGCTCTCGACTACTACTTCAGGGCAATAGTCATAGACTAATCTGAAACTATAAGGAAGCCCCCAGTTAAATGCTTTCTTTTATAAGCTGCCTTGGTCAGGGTGTCTGTTCACAGCAACAGAACAGTAACTAAGACAAGTGTTATATTTTTATCACAGCACTTTCAAACTATATTGGGCATACACATGGTATCAAGTCTAAGTCTAAACCTGTGTCTTAAAGGTAGAAAAATGCATGAATAATTAATATAATTATCATCAGTACCAAAAAGATATAGTAAGTAAGGAGAAAGCAATGTTTAAATGAAGATGATGAATCATTCTTTAAAGAAAACCATTGGGAGTTAAATAACCATACTTAAAAGAAATTAGGAAACTTACAGGACATTAGGAAAAACTAAGATTAGGAAAATCCAAGCTTGTAACGGAGTCCTTTGGAGACTGGCACCAGTATTCACTAGTATTGGAAATATTATCAAGAATGCAAGGTCACACAGAGAGCTACAGAACTGGAGTATGACAAGTGTGTCATGGTCAAGTGAAAATGAAATCAAAGGTCTTGCAGATTCACATAGGTCTGCATGCCATTTCATACAAAACATATTTTGATCAGATAAGTGATGGTGTTTAATTCCAAAAAGTAGTTCCACTGGAGCAAATAAATAGTATGAATGCTCCAATTTAAAGTTAATTTTTAAAAGATTTATTTTAACATTTTTAATTATGTATGTGTCAGTGTGCAGAACTGGGATATGTACGCACATGAGTGCAGGCACCCACAGAGGTCAGAGGCATAGTATCCTGGAGCTGAATCGTGAACTTCCTGACATGGATATTGGGGACTGAACTTGAGCTCTCTGCAAGAACTTTTAACTGCTGACCCATCTCTCCAGCCCCTAGAAGTTGTTGTTTTGTTGCTTTTACAAAACGAACATTTCAAATACATATTCAATAGTCATACTTCATCATAAAATTTCTACTTAAATAGAAGACGAATATTAAAAGCATTTTGTTGACATACCCTGATGGCAAAGATTCTGTGTTGGCATTTCTAGACCGTGGTCGCAGAGGTTCTGCAAACCCTTCTGGCTGCCTGACTTTGTCAAAAACAGAACTGTTTCTGGAATCAGAATCAGTGTCTATGAGGCTCTGAGCTTCTGGTCCCACTTGGGCACTGGTAGAAGGAATACATTCAATGTGTTCTGAGGATGCCAGGGGTTCTTGTACAGGAGGCTCTTGGGTGGTGGTGCTAGTGCAATTGGAAGTCGAAGTGGTTTCTTCAGATGGTAGTGGAGTACCCATGGTGGAGCTATTATCAGCTAGGACAGATGAAGATGATTCTCCATTAACTACAAGGGAAAAATAGCAAAATGAATTATGACCCAGGCAATTTATCACACTTCTTCAATGCCTATTGAAACTGAGCAATGTACCAGATACTGGACAACATAAAACAAAAGTTGTTTTTGGAATCAATTTTTAGGAATTAAGTGAGTAAATAATAAAAATTTTAGGAATTTTAAGAATAAGTTGGAAAATGATAAAATTTTAAGTGTATATATTAATAACTTTAACTTCAGGAAACACACCAACATTAAGAAAATAAATGTTTCTCCTCCAAATTATCAACTTTAAACCTCCTGTCAATATATAAGTGGTAGTCTCAAAACAAAACTAAACAAAAAACTTTCATTTAATAAGAAATACATGATTGCATTAATTCTTAAGATAGTATTATAGAGAAGTATAAATAGAATCCAACAGTCTACACTTTTTACTACACTTTCTACTACTTTTTAACTTTTTAAGATGTCTCACTGAGTTGTCTAGGTAGATCTTAAACTTGAAATTTCTTGCCTCAGCCACTTGAGTAGCGAGGATTACAGGCACACCATCAAGCCCAGCTTCCATTTGACACATAAGAAATAAAACACTGCTGAGACTTACTTTTTTTTTTATTTCAAGTGTAACTGATCCATTTAAACTATATGTACACATAAAATTGAGTCAAACCTTCAAGGAAGAAAATTCAATATGATGGATTAGAGTTTATAAGCATTTGCTTGCCTTTCTCTGATGGTAAATCAACACACTGGAAACACTGAAGGACAACAGAGGACACAGACATGTAAAATGGAAGAGAATGAGGAAAGTGTGCTTAGTAAGTACCAAGTGTAGCAAAGACAGATAGCAGTGTATACACAGTTGTGAGATCTGCAAGGCAGGTGGATGCAGAAAAGGTCTCTGTACTTCCTAGCATTTATCTCTCATGCTACAGAAGGGAACTTATATTGACAAGGTAGCATGTGAGCTTGCTACTTGGTGAAACAAGTCTCTGCATTTTCTGTCTCCTAGAAACTTGGAGGAAACATTGGAGTACTGCTTCAATGAATGTCTACCTTCAGACATTCTAGCCCCACTGGACTGTCCCTGAAACAATCCATGGACTCCATCCATGTGGTAAGAAATTGATCAAGACAAGGTAAACCTTATTTTCTCTGACACTGGTGGCTTAAGTGACCGGCAAGCTTAAGAACTTTGGGAGAATAGGCAGTCATCCAAGATTATGCAGGGAGTGAGGACATGAATGTGGTTTACAGGGTTGCCAGACTCACGGATGGTGTAATGTATGGGACCTATAACCACCCCCCCCCAAACGGCTGCCCTATCCTCCAAGTGGATTCACAAATGGCCCTGGAAACCCAAATGCATTGCAATGTCTACAATTATGTCCCAGAAGTGCACTGAACAAATTTCTCCACTGTGAATTTCCGCTCAGTGGGTTTTGCATCTGCCATTTTACTGGCTAGTAGGGCAGCTGAGGCCAAAATGAGTAGCTTCAGTCTGAAACTACTGCACTGGCTACCTGGTAGCAACACAGAAGGTTGGAATGAATGACATTCAGCTTTTGCTTTCTACAACAGGCTCATATATTTTAGGATAAATTTATAGAGAACTGTCTGGAAATCTGTATTTTAAATATATTACCCAATGACTTTGTAATCAGGAAAAAATTTTAAAAATGGTAATATTTGTAAAGAAAAACAAAATTATTTGAGTAAAATCAGAATTATTGAGTAAAATACACAGAACTTTATCACAACGAGTCTGACATGTATTAGGCAAATGAATGAAATTAAATGACCAGAGATGAAATGGAAAGGCAATGGGAGAAACGGTTCCCTCAAACACAGGAGCTAGACAGGGTTTGAAAATTTCTTTTAAGCTTTATAGACAATTTTTGCATTATTTAAATTGTTACATTCTATTAGGAATACTGAAGAACTTTTCGCCCATATAAAACATCCCCAAGATGTCATTGTTCATTAACGCTGAGTATTACTCCATTGTGTAAATGTACCACATTTTCTTTATCCATCCTTCAGTTGAGGAGTATCTAGGTTGTTCCAGGTTCTAGTATTACAAATAATGCTGCTACAAACATAGTTGAACAGATGTCCTTGTGGTATGAAGGTGTATCCTTTGGGTATATGCCTAAGAGTGGAATTGCTGGATTTTTGCGGCAGACTGATTCCTATTTTCCTGAGAAACTGCCATACTGATTTCCAAAGTAGCTGTACAAGTTTGTATTTCCGCCAGCAATGGAGGCTTGAAATTCACAGACAAATGAACAGAACTGGAAGAAACCATCCTGAGTGAGGGACCCCAGAGACAGAAAGAAAAACATGGTATGTACTCAATCATAAGTGGATATTAGACATAAAGCAAAGGATAACCAACCTACAATCCACAACTCCAAAGAAGCTAAGAAACAAGGAGGACCCTATGAGAGACATACATGACTCCTGGAGGTGAAAGGGAAAAGATATCCTGAGCAAATTGGAAGGGATAGGGAAAGTAGGAGAAAGAGGAGAGAAGGAGAGGGGGAGAGGAGAACATGAGGGAGTTGTGGGAAGAACAGAGAAGGAGAGCAAGGAAAGAGATACCTTAACAGAGGGAGTCATTATGGGCTTAATGAGAAATCTGGCACTAGGGAAATCTTCAGGGATCCACAAGGATGACCCCAATTAAGAATCTAAGCAATACTGAAAAGGCTACCTTAAATGCCCTTCCCCTATAATGAGATTGATGACTACCTTAAATGCCATCATAGGGCCTTCATCCAGTAGCTGATGGAAACAAAAGCAGAGATTCACAGCTAAGCACTGAACCGAACTCCTGTAATCCAATTGTAGAGAGGGAGGAGTGATGAGCAAAGGGGTCAAGACTGGGCTGGGGAAAACCACAGAAACAGCTGACCTGAGCAAAGGGGAGCTCAGGAATCCCAGTCTGATAGCTGGGGAACCAGCATAAGACTGAACCAGGCTCTCTGAACGTGGGTGTCAGTTGGGGGGGGGCGCACTAGGCAGTCTATAGGGCCTCTGGCAGTGGAACCAGTATTTATCCCTAGTGCACAAATGTGCTTTGGGATACTCTCTCAGCCTAGATACATGGAGAAGGGCCTAGGTTCTGCCCAAAATGGTGTGTCAGGCTTTGATGATCCACCATTGAAGGCCTTACCCTCCCTGAGGAGTAGATGAAACGTAGGGTTGGGGGGATGGTGGGGGGAATGGGAGGACAGAAGGAAGAGGGAACCGGGATTGGTAAATAAAATAAGATTGTTTTTAAGTTAAATAAAAGTTATTTTAAAAAATCCCCCAAACCACAGGGGATAATTCAGTATTAGTAAATTGTGTTAGGAAATGCATCACAGTAACTGAGCAAAGGATAAAAGAAATAATATTTTCAATACTAGCTAAAAAAAAGTATTCAACAAAATAATAATGAGCAAAGTAAGGGTGATCATAGTTACTACTCCAGTTCAATATTGCTGGTTATACTTGACAATGTATTAAGACTGGAAAAACCAAAAACACTAAAAAGGGTAAAACTCACATATAAAGGAGATTGAAGAGCCTTAATTTCAAAATCAAGATCATATTCAAGGTGTGTTAGAAAGAAAACAAAACAAAAATACTGAACTGGTGTTTATTGTTCTTGTTGTTGGTTTGCTTGTTTTTACTCTAGGCAGGCCTGGAAACTAATCCTGCTGAGGGCTTGGGAATAACGTCATGCACGATCATGGCATAGACTAAGAGCCATCCATAAAAATAAAAAGACTAAGAATAGATAAAAAATACCTTTAGGTGAGAAGGTTGGAAAATACAACTCTGCTTAAATTGAAATGCAATAAGGATGAAGAAAAACAGGAATTCTCATTCTTTGTTGGTGAAGATGTACAGCACAACCACCTTGGAAAATGACTGGGAAGTTTTCCATCAAGCTATTATACATTCTACTTATCTCATTTGTCAACCAAAATGAATTCAAGGCATATGACCACACTAAAAACTGGTACACAAATATGGACAGAATCTATATTCCTAATTGCTTATAACTCAAGAACCCAGGCTGTTTCAACACGTGACTGGATAAGAAATGGTGATACCACAATAAAGAAAAATAATAAAATTCACAGACACAGAAGAACCTGAGGTATACACATTCCTAAGAGAAAAGAGTCAATATGGGACAGTTGCATACTCAAGTCTAGCCATAAGATCTTCTGGAAATGACAGAACTATGAAGACAACACAAAGATCAGTGAGTCTTGGGGAAGGGGAAGAGTGATTAAAGTGCAGGAGAATTTTAGAGTAGTCAAACTTTTCCGCATAGCACTGCAATGGCAATATGCAGTTCTTAACACCCACCTAATAGTACATCTCAAGAAATGAAACTTACATTATACATTTCCATCCAGTGTTTCTATCTAATACTTCTTATAAAAGTGATATTGTTCCATACTTTCTGATTATATATGTTTATAACTCATGATCCCTCTTCTTCATTACTAAATTAGTTTGGTTTTGCAATACACACACACTCACACTCACACACATTTTGGTCATTAACAATCTAGTGATAACAATTTGCTGGTTATAACAAATGTACCATATGTTACTCGGAAACTTTAAATACAATAGGAAAGGCAGATATATAAGATTTCCATCAGTGTCCACCTAAGTTGTTCAGGCCCTAATGTTCTGAATTCAAAAGATCCTTGTACGTTGTACTCATCCAAGTAGATAGGTCTCTAGGCATGTGATACCTGCCCCCAATTTGCCTTAACAAACAGTCTTAATCACTTTCAGTCACTAAGACTTTGGGGTTACAATTCTTTCAAATAAAGTTTTAAAGAAAGGAAGAAATACTAGAGTATTTGATTTCCACTTGTTATGACTTTTTTATGGTTTAAGTGTGTATATATAATATTTTTGAATGAGAGAGAAATAATTAGATTATTGGAGCAGTTGCCCTTGGAAGGATTGAAGTAGTTCTCGTACAATGTCAAGTCAGTTCCTAAGAGAGTGAGCTGTTATGAAACATTAAGTCTTACTTAAAGGCATTCTCTGACTGTCTGTCCTATCAGATCATCTTTCTCTTTTACATATATGCCAGTCATGAGCACAACCAACAGGAGATCCTCACCAAAGTTCCAAAGGAACCGAATGATTGTGAATTTTCATACTAGAAAACAGGCAATTAAATATCTCTCTTAGCAACCTCCTCAGCCCCAACCAACAGATTATCACTATATAGCCCTGACTGGCCTCAAATTTACTATACAGTTAAGGCTGGCCTTAAACTTATAGGGCAGCCTGCCTCTGCCTCTCAAGTGCTAGAATTAAAATATCTCTTTATTTGTAAGTTACACAGTCTTTGAGCATTTTGTTATTTTAACACACACACACATCTCATGGTACCATTTTAGTACTTTTCAAACTATGACATGAAAGCTGGTTGCTTGCTTATGTAATTCCCTTACAGGTAAATCATTTTGGAGTGGCTATGTCTACAAAGAAAAAGCCTGTGAAACAGCCCTGTAGGAATAGCCCAGCTCTGTATCTAATGGTAGTTAGATAAAACACACTGTGAAGCAATTAAGCACTCACGCACAAAGCAACAAGGTAGAACTGCTCACAGTGACTAACTCTGAGCTTGATTAGCACCAGTTTCTTGACTGGTGACTTACAATAGTCACAGGCCTACTTAGTGTGGGTAGAAGCCAGTACACAGGGCCTTCCCCAACATTTCCCTACAGTTTTCTGAGTATTTATAATTCTTAATAAAAAATGGGGGAAAAGTATGACATACCTATAGGTTTGTCTAATACCTTATCACACGTATCTATTATACATATATAGAATACTAATACATTAGCAAAAGTTATCTCATATTGGAAATTAGAGGATTAAAGTGGAAAAGAATATTTTCGTAAATACCACTTCCAAGAACTATGATAGGTGCCGGGCGTTGGGGGGGCACGCCTTTAATACCAGAACTCAGGAGGCAGAGGCAGGTGGATCTCTGTGAGTTCGAGGCCACTTGGTCTACAGAGCGAGTTCCAGGACAGCCTCTAAAACAATACAGAGAAACCCTGTCTCGAAATACACCAAAAAAAAAAAAAACTATGATAGATACTTTTGATTTACTAGTTCATTTAACCTTTACAAGTGAATTATAAGACAATTAATTAATAATATCAGCCTCCTCTACATAGAGATGCTAACTTTGAGGATATTTTTGTCACTTTTTAGCAGGTTAAGTCTACTCTTTTTGGGTTTACTCTATTTCTCACTATCTCATCTTCTCCCTGAAATTTAGAATAAATATTTATGGCAACTAAACTTGCCAAATGAATCTTCTCAATCAATAGAGAGAAAAGGCCTTCATGAGCAATACTACCTCTGGTGGGAAGTTATCATTTCTCTGAATTCCTTAGAATTAGCCCACATCCATTATCTGAAACCCTTGGAGACAAACGTATTCCAGAATACATGTTTTAGAATTTAGAACAGTAATGTGGCATATGCATTATTATATATCATACCAATACCCAAGCAGAAACCAGTCATGGCAGAAACTACAAATACCCTTGTGCCAGTTCACATGAATTTACAAAACACACACACACACACACACACACACACACACACACACACACACACACACACTTTCTCTTTTTGGTTTTCTGAGACAGGTAGCCCTGGCTGTCCTAGGATTCACTCTGTAGACTAGACTGGCCTCAAACTCATAGAGATCCACCTTCTTCTGCTTCTGGAGTGCTGGGATTAAAGGAGATTTCATAAACTTTGAAATGCAGGTATATTAGAATAACGTCTTAGAGAAAAGAGGTTTACTGAGCTCACAGTTCAAGATCTTCAATAGTGTATTCCAGCATTAGCTGGATCTAGCAAGGACTTGGTGGAGAATGGGAGAGCATGTGGGGCTCCAAACTCATCATCACAATTCCAGTAACAAAAGCTAGCTCAGAGTACTGAATTGGAAAAAGGAATATCAGCTATGAAATTCAATGAGAAAGTACTTTCCTCCTATCTATAAGAACTTTTGGCAACACCCAGCACCCACCTCCTCAAAGGGGATTGGGGAATTCTACTTGGCAACTATACCTTAAAGGAACAAGAAATACCCACTTCCTGAAAAGATATCGGAATTAATTCTATGAGTAAGGATTGAGCTATCACAAAAAGACATCACCTAAGTGGTTGCCACCAACACAAAAGCCCTTTAAACTAAATGGAATGAGAACAGTTACACTATTTTTAAGACAATCACAGCAGGTGAAAAGGTTGGAAGAATAGTCTGTGAAACCTATCTCAATACAGAAGATAAGCATCAGTCTTTTGAGAAGTTCTATGTAACCATATGTGAACAGGAGGTAGTATAAAGCTGAAAGCCACAGAGCTGGATATTAATTCCTGTGACCCCTCCACACTTCAATTCCTTGAGAGAAAAGAGAAACTACTAGTACGTATCCCAAAGAATGACTTGGAGAGTAGCTGGTAAATAGATACTGGACATTTAGCACATGCACAGCAGATGGTAGCTGTAGAAGGAATTTCTGTCCTGCCTGGTCCTGCAGCCCTTTAATCCCAAATAAACACACAGAGACTTCTATTAATTATAAAATGTTTGTCTGATGGCTCAGGCTTTTTATTGACTAGCTCTCTCTTAATTATTAACCCATTTATATTAATTTGTGCATCTCTAGATGGCCTTAGCTTACCTTCAAAGCAATACTTTATATCACTAATTAAATGTTCTCTTGTGGCCTAAAGACCAAGAATCTCACATCATATTAGCACTTGCTTAGTAAAATGTTGTGATTTTACCTTCTTAAATAATCCAGAAGACTTTAAATTTAGAAAAAATCCCAAGTATCATAACTTTTTACTTCATATTACAGAACATTAAGAATGATAACATAATAAAATAAATGGAGGCATAAGTTTGACTAGGTTACCTGTGTCACTGGCAGGCTCAGGTGCGAGTGGTTTTGGAGCTGGAGCATTTTTGGGTCTGGCAGCAACCTGAGACGGGGATGAAGGTGTGTTTTCTCCATTAACTACATGTGAACAGCATGAGTTGGCAACAACAGTATTTGTTGGTACATGATTATCTACTCCAATAGTACCTTCAACAGCCAACCTTAAGAAAAAAACATAAAATAAAATTCTAACTTCAATGAGTTAAGTACAATAAAACAATCTGTCAACCAAGTTTACATTAAAAAATTTTCCTGACTTTCTAACATTCAGGTGGAGTGCTAGATAGAGCAGAGAAAAAGATACAGCCTGCAGTTGGAGCTAACAGAAAGTAAAGTAAATTAAAAACAAACTCCATGCCTGGGAAAAACTGTAACATGTTGCCACAAATAATAAAATGAAGCACTTTACCTGGCAGCTGTCTGTATTGAAGGGTGTCCATCTTCATGTAAGGCATCACCATTCTGCTGTACTTCTACTAAACATCAGGAAGGAAAGCAGCTCAGTTGCAGTTGTTACATATTTCTTGTCAACTTTGTTTACTTAAATTTAAAAACACATAAGCACAGCTTACTGGTTGGAGAAGAGTTGTGGTTTGTTAGATTTTCTTGGTCAATCACTAATCCATCAAGCACAACTGTCAATTCACCAGTTTGCACTATGCCATTCTTGTTTTCCAGGGAAAGTTTTAATATTTCTTTCACTTTTTCTACTAGAAAAAAAAAAAAGAAAATTCTAATTTAAAAACATTTGCCACACACAGAAATATGTTGTAGAGATACCTGGATTCAAGAACTTCTGTATTTCAGAACCTGACTGCTATATTTGGAAGTAATTCTTTACACATGTATCTATAGACCGTGAATAAACTACAATAGGGCTAACTCTGTTCATGGGCAGTTCAATGACTCTGGTTCCTCCACACCTGTGACATCATCTTTAATTGCGTTTGTGCGTTAATTAGAGGATAGGCTAATACTATTTACACACTAGGCACAACAGCTGTGTAAACTTGTTTCTGAGCAGAAGCCCAAAGACCCATGGATGAGTTACAATTTCATCCTGAGAGTCAAATGCCTTTGTTATCAATTCCATTTCTGCCACTTACTAGCCAATATAATACTGTTGTTCAAGCTGTATTTAGCCTTGGTTTCCTCACTTTTCATTACAAAATGGAACAATGAGAACATCAAAAGGGCACACACCTTTAATCCCAGCACTCGGGAGACAGAGGCAGGCGGTAAGTTCCAGGCCAGCGTGGTCTACAGACTGAGTTCCAGGTTGGCCAGGACTGTTCCACAGTCTCAAAAAAACCCTTTCTCAAAAAACCAAAAACCAAAACAAACAAAAAAATAAAATAAAAAGGAAGTAAAAGCAACTTCAAGCCCAGCCGAGAGTCATAAAGACCTACTTCAAAGCTGCACAGAAAGTTAGGAGACCCAAACCTAACAGAGTTGTTATTCAATATGCTACATGCTGTGAAGACAGCTTGGCGGTGTTTTTTTCTTACAGAAGGCCACATGCTTCCCTTCCATTAAATCTATTCTGATTTAAATGCAAAGCCACTTTGATTCAACTTCCATCCCACAGAATATATATTAAATTTACTTGGAAATTAGAAGAATTTGTAAAGACAACAGTGGAAGACTATAACACTTCAAATACACAAAAAGGATATGGGTTTTCATATTTGAAATACATTATGGTGTGGGGAATTAGTAAGTAATTATGTACTATAAAGTTCAAAAATCACTGAAAGTTTAAACATGCATTACAAATAAGGATACTTGAACAGATATATTAACTAGCTTTATTTGGTTACTCAATTTTATACATAAACCATAAAATGACTTTTTACTCCATAAATATAATTTGTCAGTTAATAATTTAGAAAAATAATTCTCCTTAAAACTCATTAGTGATCATCTTATTATCCAATATGGAGACAATTGGATTTTCTTTTTTGTGATTGTTTTTTGGTTTGTGTAGCACTGGTTGTCCTAGAACTCACTATATGCACCAATGGCCTCAAATTCATAGAGATTTGCCTACCTCTACCTCCCAAATGCTGCCCTATCAGTAGAAATTTACTACATAGACATATGCATCAGAGAAACTATATGAAGACACAGGGAAAGCATGGTTATCTACAAGTTAATGTAAGAAGTCTCAGAAGAAAACAACCCATCATCACCTTGATAAGATTCTAGGCTCAAGTGAGAAAAAAGCCTCTAGTTGTTTAAGATGGAACATGACTGCGTTTTTAGCACTCAAGAAGCTGAGACAGGAGGATCATGAGTTTAAAGACAGTCTGGCTACATGGTAAGACCCTGCCTCCAAACAAAACAACAAAAATTTAATGACAGGTACGTAGGATACTACTGGCTGTTTTTCTGAAGCCCTCCACTTACTGTACAAATGTTTATAAAGAATTTTTCACTTAAGCACATTCTGCTCAAGTATATCAGATACTTAAGTTTATACAATTCATTAGGATTTCTTCTCAAATTATACTGACATTATAAGTTTCCTCAAAGATGACTGGATAAGATAGATACTTTACATGGAGATTAGGTGATTAAATATTTATATGAGGTGTTGAGCACAGTCTAACTTTAGAACAGAGTCAGAAACAATCTAAATGTACAGCAATAGGGACATAGATGATGATATAAGAAAGAATCCAGGTAAGAAACTATACACTTACAAAGCCTATTAATTTCTGTACCAAGAAAAATGGCATGTCCAAAATAAGTCAAGCAATAGCAGATACAATTAAATTAGCACAAAGTAATATATTTTCTTCTTTAAAACTCATAGTTCAAATAAACTTTCAATTACATGTGCATTTTCAGAAGGAATTTTTTTTTCTTTTGAAGCTAAGGGACAATATTATTAGAGTTTCATAGAAACACATCCCAGGGCAAGCAAGTTGTAAATCTCAGCAGTTGTCCACAGGAGAAGAATAGAGGCTAGAAGGAAAAGTCATGTTGTTTGCATACCAGCATGGAGGTCTCTGCCTAAGGGCATAGGAAAGCAAGTGGTGGGTAGGGAGATTTAGAGAAACAGTAAGGAAGTCCAAGAGTATAGAAAAACATCCTTAGGTGCTGATCAGCATCCAAAATAATGAGACAGAAAGAAGAGAAAGGAAAAGATGCAAAGGAAGGGACGACTCAATGACATGGCAACTTCAAGTTAGTTTGGAGAGGCTGTGTGGGATTGGAATTCTGGGAAGGAAAAGTACTGTAATAATTAAAGTACAGTACTTTTAAAGGGGTAATAATTCCTTAAAGCAAGCCTTAGAGGAAATACCTCCTTCCTGAGGGGTGGTACCTTGGCTAAGGGGTTGACTGGCCCAACTGATAAGTAAGTAGGTCTCTATCCAGATCAGAGATTCTATTCTACTAACCAGAAATGTTTTCCAGCCGGGCGTTGGTGGCGCACGCCTTTAATCCCAGCACTCGGGAGGCAGAGGCAGGTGGATCTCTGTGAGTTCGAGGCCAGCCTGGTCTACAAAGTGAGTTCCAGGACAGCCTCCAAAGCCACAGAGAAACCCTGTCTTGAAAAAAAAAAAAAAGAAAAAAGAAATGTTTTCCATTGCTACTCTCACACAGCCCTCTCCAAGGAAGAAGTAACCGTAAAACTATCTGGGCACCAACCAGATCAGGGATCTGAGTTCCTAAACACTTTTGCCATCTCTGGCCTATGGCAAAGATGATACTACTAAGAAGCCCAAGGGCAGTTCCAGCTTTTACTCAAGAAAGAAGCAGGTTATCTAGAGGCAAGGGAGAGTCTTTATCCTCAATGGCCTAGCCACTGTTCCTATCTCTAAAGAAGTGACACCAACTGCTACTGTGGAATTGGGGCAATAACTTGACTTTGTGAAGGAACTTTAAAAAAAAAAAGAAAGAAAGAAAAATCATTTTAAGTACTGACATTTTAAGTTCAACCTAGCAAACCAATGTTTAGGAGTTTTTGTTTTTGCCAAAGTGCTGGAGATTGAGTCAAGGACCTCGCACATGCTAGCAAGTATTCCACTACTAGCAGACATCCGTAGTCCCGAGTTTGAGGAATTACTGAAAAAATAGCTAAGAAAATGAGGCAAAGATCACAAAGACCCACAAATGTCAACAGAGGTATTCTTTCAAGCGGACTGTTGAACACTGCCTAATATCAGGAACAACAATGCAAAAGCTCTTGCACTGGAGAGAAGGTCAGCCACTAAGTGTGTGCACTGCTCTTGCAGAGGACCCGAACACCACATCAGGTCTCACAGTTGCCGCTAACTTCACAACCTCCAGCCTCCTCGGGCACCTGCATTCACTTGCACATATTCTCATTACAAAGACACACACACATAGAACTTAAAATAATTTCAAAAAATCCTCAGCTAGTGTCCCCTTCAGTTGTACTTGTGGCACAATTCAGAGAAGACGAATGGACCCTGTGCCAAGGAGACACACAAACTTGTGAAATGCTTCCTTAAAATATGTCATGAACTAGAATTCTGGTTTTTAAATCTTCAACGAAGTACTAATCTAAGATTTGATTAAAACCCACAAACTGTTTCTAAAGAATTATAAATCTATGTATATACACCCAAAATTTTGTATATACTGACAAGAGGCTTAGCATTACTGTAGTCTGAACTGCCTTAAGAAACCCAATACCAAAAAATATTAATCATGAAACTATAGAACTTATAGCATAGTGTCGATTTTTTTAAAAAAGTGAAGTAGGAAAAGTATGTCTAAGAAGAAGGAAAAAAGAACAAATTATTGAGTGATTATCTTTAGACAGAATTATAATTTCTATAATCCTCTGTGATTTTTTCTGTTTTAAAAAACTTTTTATTGATTCTTCAGAAATTTCACATCATGCATCCTGATCCCATTCATCTCCCTCTCCCTTTATATCTACCCTCTGTTCTTGCAACTTCTCACCAAAATAAATTAAAATTTAAAAGAAAAAAAAAATCACACCATAGTGTAAAGAGAAGCCTTTTCCTTGCCAGCGGCTTGGTTTCCCCCCCTTCCCCACCAGTCGCGCGTTGTAGTCCCCAAATAACACACAAGACGCTGTATTAATTATGAAGCTGTTGTTCTTGCTTGTTTCTTACTGGCTAGCTCTGACTTAAGTATTTATCCCATAATTGTCAATCTAAGTATTTCTCTTACCAGAGAAGTTTCTGGGCTTCTTATCCCTATGGCGGTTACATCTTGACTCCCTATGTTTCTCCTACCCAGAGTCCTCCTGGACTCCTAGTCCCACCTATCTTGCTTCCCTATTGGCCAACAGTGCTTTATTGACATATACACATACACAGGACTTCCCCAATACCATAGAAGCTGTAGAGTGACACAGTACACCCTTTGGTCCATACAGCTTTACTTGCAAGTGTTCATTGCAATGAGTCATTGGTCTGGTTAGAGGCCTCTGGCTTCTGTTACATTATCAATACTGGGCCTTCACTAGGACTCCTTTTGGACATCCTGTTGTCAACATGTATCAGGTAGATCCTGAAGCTGCAGGACTGGCCTTTCACATGCTCTATAAGAGCATAGATGAGATGGATGTTGGGGGTGGGCCAACTGTTCTGGGCCTGGGTGGTAGCTGGGTATGCCAGCCCACCAGCTCTCCCCCATCCTCACCACTGGAGCGAGCTCTCTAGCACTGCCCCAACTAGACACCCTATGAAGCAAGCAAGGAGCAAGAGGCAGGGCCCGTTCTCCTGCTCTCAGGTCCTAAGGGTGGCTCACCTGCACCCATACCATGAGGGCCAGCTCTACTTAGTTGCCCAGGTGCTCCTCTGATTTTTTTCATTTCTCCACATTTTTTAGAAGGAACTGGTTAACACTGAAAAATTATAATGCTAAAATATTATATCTAAATAAAGTTGTCATTGTCAATGAAAATAAGACTATCCTCAAGGGCCAGTAGTGAAGAGGCAAAGTTCCTGCCTAGTATGCACAAGGACTTGTGTTTGATCCCCAGCATCAGAGGGGAGGGGTTGTCTTGTTTGAGGGGAGGGAGAGGACATGCTATTTATCTATTCACCCTAGTCTAACCTGGACTTCACAATTCTTCTGCCTCAGCCTACTGAAACCTAGGATTAAGGGCATATACCACCATGCTTGAACTAGGTCTTAAAGTTCACAAGTAAACAATAAATGAGTGGTGGTAATTGGTAAATGATCTACACTGCGGCAAAAGGATGGGGAAATACTGCCCACTGTACATTGTGACACAGTTCTGAAAGCAACCACCAGCAATTATAAGTTCTTTATAAACACACTATACCTCATTTCTGGACTTTAGAAGGATATGTGTAAAGTCTCTGAAATAATGTGTAAAGAAACAAAGGTTAGAAGGCCACTTACATTTCCTGTTGTGTGTTAACAGCACTTGTTTCAAGTCCACTGTTGCTCTTCCTAACAGAGCATCTGCTTTTAAAGTATGGTGACTCCAAACTCTAAACTCCAAGGTGGTCTGTGGGGTCACATTTCTGCATGAATAACATTATAACAAAAATAAACATAGTATCACTGAGTGTGCTAATTCTTTTAAGTTATCTATTTCAATGGTTTTCCTAAAACTGAATTCAGTTTGATACTATATGAAACAGTAAACTGACTGGATCAGAATTGAATATAACTAATATTTACAAATACATTAGGACTTTAAAAACTACTTCAGGATTTTTATAGTTAGCAACCCACTGAGCAGCACAGCACTGTTTGTCTTGCTGAGACCTCAGAAAAACCTCTCCTGTGAGAATACATTTCTAGAACTGTTCAGAATGACTGGCAGTGGCAAAATGCTTCTATTTTATTACTTTATCAAACATTCAGAGAATTAGGGCCATGTGGAAATAACTGTTTGTAAAAAAAAAAAACACAATTATTGTGCTTCCTCTCTGAAAAAAAGTGAAATTAAAACTTTCATCTGTTAAATTCTTTCTTATATAAAGAAAAAAACTTGTTACTTGAAGTCATTCTACAAAATACAAAGCATGGGACATGCGATTTGAAGAGTTGGTAGCCTTTACATAAGATACTCACACAGCCAGCTGCTCATCCCATTTTGGATTAGAAGAACTACTGGATTTTGCTGTTTTCTTAATTTCTCCATCTACAACAACTTCAGTATATATTGCGGTTCCAAACCAGTTTTTTTTTCTTTTTAGTTTGGCACTAGAAACTAACAGAAAACAATAATTACTATGTAACAAAAACAAGACAAAACAAAACACAGCATTACCAACTAATAAACCAACAAACACACAAGTCTTCTTCCACTTCTAGTATATGTCTCACTAGCAAAACAAGAAACCAAGAGTGTCTGAAAGCCATCTGAATTTCTCAGTAACAAATTTATTGAGATAATTCATCCATTTGAATAGGATAGCTAATTTTTTAATAGATTCAGACTTGTACAAACATCCAAATTAATTTGAAAACAGCTTTGTTAATTCTCCCAAAGATCAACTGATCATTAAGTAGTAATTTTCCTATCTTCTGCCAGCATGCCCCAGCCTGTTTGTATAGATTGCCTGTTCTGAAAATCCCATGTTGTGGGATCATATACACAGTCTTTCACGACTGCCTTCAATCACTTAGCATGCGTTCAAGTTCCACTACTGTAGCATTCATCAATACTTCACTCTTTTTACTGCCAAAGACCATTCCATCATTGACATGCCACATTTTATTTATCTATTACTTCAAAAACACTTAACTTACTTTGTAGCTGTTGTGTCTAAGACTTCTATAAACATTCATGTGCAAGTTTTGCTGTGGACATGTTTTCATTTGCCTTGGACAAATTAGAACTGCTGGGTGGCACAGTAAGTCTCCATTGAATAAATGCCAGACTATTTTCCCAAAGTGGTTTCATCATTTCACACTCCTCTCAAAGAACAGTGGCATCTGATATCTGTGTGTCTATTAATTTATATGTTTATATACATGTGAGATAACGTTCTCCCAATGTAACCCAATCTAGACTTGAATTCATGAGCCCTTTTCATCTGTCTCCCAAGTTCAGAGAGCCATCAGTGTGCACTATCATACCTGAATGGTTTCTATCTTTACCTGTTATTTAAATATAATTTCAAACTGTACCAAGGACTGTGAGAAAAGTAAATGCCTTCATCAAGGTGGTATTTGCTACATAACTGTGGCCCATTTATTACAAATTATTGAACGTTTTACCTGGAAAAATAGTTTCAATTAAAAACTTATCTATTTAAAAATTTTGAAAATTAAAATGTCATCATGAGATAAAAATTAATCATAACCTTTTATAGAAAATGAATTAATTTACCCAAGATAATAAGGAATTAATTCAGCTTAAACGTGTGCCTTTAATGATTGAAACTGTTATTCCAAACACAGAACTGTCCAGTATTCCAGGACAAAATACTGACTACCAACCAGGGAAAACAGCACATATGATCACCTCTGTAACCAATTCACTGTAACTATTCTGGGTCTGAGATGACAAAAGAAAAGCACCCATGTCACACCCATGAATTGTTAAGATAAGAAATAAAGCAACATACATATGCTTCCATTCTGCTGAGAGAAATTAGTCAAATAAACCAAAGCAATACAAAGTGAAACTGATGGGACAGGGGTAAAGTGTGAAATAGTTACCACTCTATTAATATGTAAAGAATAACAAAAAAGATTTTAAACAAATGTTTATTAAAATACTGGCAAGAGTGCAAACCATGTTTAACATTATGTGTGAAGTGCTACTGTGAGGGTCTTAGTAAAACTCATTCTCATCCTTTGATGTTGCAAGTTGCTCTAAGTTTACCACCAAGGGACTGATATAAGAGGCCAGATTTGTTACTTCTCAAGAAATTACCCATATAGAAGGTTTCATTCCAAATAAAAGTTATTTCTTTGATACATACAGGTCCTGTCTTTCCACACATTGTAAGTAAAGGAAGGCAATACAGGATCATATTAAAAGCACACAAGAGTAATTTATATCTGGGTTCAGGTTTTAATTTTGCCATGACTAGAATCCTGACCTGAGGGAGGTCAATTAACGGCTCTGCCCCTCCATTTTCTCACCTGAAAAACAGGGGAACAATAATACCCAATTCTTAGGATTGGTGAGTGAAGGCATGCAAAAGCACGATCATCAACAAATTCCCCGCATCCAGTATGGCGACTTTACCTATGCTATTACTATGAGTTAACTGCAGACCCACTCAAAATATGCCCACTGTGTATCTTTATTTGGCAAAGTGCTTGATAGTACTAAAAGCTGCTAACAGACCACCCCAACAGATTTTTTAAAGTATCTATTTTAATCTCATGGAAATTCATAACATGGTGGCTCAATAGTACATATAAAATAGTTTTAAATAAAGTAAATACTACTATCTTGAACAGGAGTTCTAATTAGTGGAAACAGGATAAATTAAATTTTTCCATTTGTTGGTTTACCTTTGGTGTTACACTCAAAATGCCCTTCACAGTAACACTATGTAAATACTGGAAATTAGCAGACATTGGACGAGGTTCCTGAATCAAACAGTAACACCCCTAAAAACATTTGGCAACTAATGTCCACATGAAAATTATCATAAAACTTGAATGATAGAAATCAAAGAGGAAGAAAATGATCTGATATAGTCTTACATCTGGTAATTTTAACATAAAAGTTTTAAATCATCTCCAACTTAATATGTCATTTTACAACAAAAACACCAAATTACTGAGCTTGAGTGTTTGGGTTAGACACAGAGAAAAATGGGGGGGACCTTAAACTCCTGTAAGGGACAAAAGAATATAGAGAACAGGAACAAACATACATAAAATAGGAGCTAATTAAAGACTTTTACAAATTTATATACTATAAAATGAAAATAGACAGTATGACAATGATGTAAGCAATAGGAATAGAGTAAGATAGAAAAAATTGAAATCAACAAGAAAAAATGGTTAGCCCATAAATAATTACATGCTTGAGAAAAATCACCGAACTCTAAAGACACAATTTAAGTGAAATTAAGGGCAGCTGGTGTGGCTCTGTAAATAAAGGCATTTGCCACCAAGCCTAATGACCTGAGTTCAATCCCTGGAACCCAAATAGTAGAGAGATTCCCATAAGTTGTTCTCTGACATGTACATGTACCATGGCTCATGTATGTGCACATACATAAATGTAAAAATCAATATATTTTAAAGTATAATTGAGGTATCATAAAATACTATATATACCTTACAAACTTTGCTTCTGACCCTTTCATGTATGATCTTAAAATCTACAATACTGAAATTACTTATCTCTGCATGCTACTATACTTACGTTTGTGGTATAGTAAATTATCAAATTACAGTGAGTTACCTTCTGTTTGACTTTAGATCATGGTTTTCCTACTTCTAGGATGTTTATTGGTTGACTAGGTGGTTGGTTTTTTAGAAGCTGATATGAAACTCAAAGCCTCAGATACACAAGGAAAACACTAAATCATGGAGCTACACCCACAGCACATTGTTCTTGTATGTTTGTCTCCTTCAATCAGCTATAGATTAAGAGCAGACTTGAATCCCAGACTGATGCCTGGGAATCCAGCATGGGACTGATCAAGACCCCCTGAATGTGGGTGTCAGTGAGGAGGCCTAGGTAATCTATTGAGCCTTGGGTAGTAGATCAGTATTTATCCCGAGTATATACATGGACTTTGGACTCCCATCCAACAATGAGAGATGCACTCTCACCCTGAACTCTTGGGGGAGGGTCTAGGCCCTGCCCTGGATGAAATGACAGACTATGGACACCCCCATGGAGGGCCTCACCCTCCCTGGGGAAATGAGGGGATATATTGGGGGGATTGGTGGGAGGGCATGGGAGGAAGGGAGGGAAACGGAAAGGGACCTGGAATTGACATGTGAAGCAACCTTGTTTCTAATTTAAATTTAAAAATATATAAAGAGACATTGACACAGTAGCACACATATGTAATTCCAATGCTTAAGGGGCTAAAAGGGACTAAATCACCCTGTCTCAAAACAATAACAACAAAAAAGAAAAAAGGAAAAAAATATAATGGACATGATAATAGTACATGACTGTAGTCTCAGCACTTGGGAAACTAAGGCAGGAGGAATACAAAGTGAACACTAGCCCAGGCTACAAAGTTCCAGAGCAATATAAGCTTGACTAAAACAAGAAACCTAAACTAGTTCTCTCTTCTTTGTATTTACATTTGAAGATAAGCGATTAGCTTTTTGCTCCTGATGCCATCCATGCCTGTCATTTGCTGTCATGCTATTCTCACTACAATGGATTCCTGCCTCTTACTAAGCCCAAATAAACTGTTTCTTCTACAAGTTGCATTGACCATGATGTTTTATCACAGCAACAGAAATATGATACAGAGGTTGGTACCAGAGAGTCAACTGTGGCTGTGAAGAACCTGACCAGGTGGTTTTGGAGGATTGTGGAAAAGTTTGAAACTTTGCTAGAAAAACAATTGAAGACTGTAAGCAGAGTTAATAAGCCATGCTAGCAAGACTGTGGAGACAGTGGTGCTGAGAGCAATACATGTCATGGAAGCCCAGCTCCAAATGTGGTTCAGAGGGGAACAACATTAGCAACTGGACTTAATGGCCATTTGTATGGAATTTTGGCAAAGAATTGAACTGCTTTTTGCTCTTGTCCTAAGAACTCCCCTGTATAAAAAGTAATTAACTAATTTCTTTGGTGCAGGCAATTTCAAAGCTATTGTAGAATACTGTTTTAAGGCATGGTACATTTGTTTATGCTCTGGAACATTCATTTAACAATGTAACCATGTGTTGCTTTTGTTTATGCTGCATTTGTTTAACTCTGTGAAGCTGTGATGCTTTGCCTGACGGTTTAATAAAGAGCTGAACAAACAATATCAAGGCAGGACAAAGGATAGGCTGGGCTGGCAGGCAGAGAGTATAAACAGAAGGAGAAAACTGGAAGGTGAAGGAAGAAGAGAGAACAAGGAGAGGAAGACGCCAGAGGCCACTTACCCAGCCACCCAGCCAGACACCGAGTAAGAGTGGGAGTAAGAGTGAAAGTAAGGTATACAGACGTAAGAAAAGGAAAAGGCTAAAGGTAGTCGGGATAATTTAAGTTAAGAAAAGCTGGCAAGAACAAGCCAAGCTAAGGATGGACATTCATGGGCTAAGAATACATCTCCATGTATTCATTTGGGAGCTCAATCGTGCCCCGTCACCCCTGCAAAAGCAAAAAGAGTAAAGAATAAAAGGAGTAAAAAACCAACAATAAAAAACAGCATAATAATAAATTTGTGATGTGTTTATTATTAAAAATTCTTATTTGGGTCTACAATGAAAAAGAGTACATTAGGCAGAAATAAATGCAAAATGTACAGTTTGGGGAATAAAAGAACAGGAGACATGACACAATCAAGGTTTGTGTTGAAAGAAGAAGCTTCCAAGGAAATAAAGAGGACCCTAAAAGAGACATACATGGTCCCCCAGAGAAGGAGGAAGGGACAAGATCTCCTAAGCTATTTGGGAGCATGGGGGGAGGGGAGAGGGAGTTAGGAGAAAGAGAAGGGGAAAAGACGAGGGGTTAGGAGGACATAAGGGAAGAGGAAGATTGAGTCAGGGAAAGAATAGAGGAGAGCAAGAAAAGAGATACCATAATAGAGGAAGTCATTGTACTGACTTCCAGAAATCTGGTACTAGGGAAATGTCCAGAGATCTACAAGGATGACCCCAACTAACAATCTAAGCAATAGTGGAGAGGCTACCTTAAATGCCCTTCCCCAATAATGAGATTGATGACTACCTTGTATACCATCCTAGAGCCTTCATCCAGTGGCTGATGGAAGCAGAGGCAGACACCCACAGCTAAACACTGAACTGAATTCCTGGAACCCAGTTGCAGAGAGGGAGGAGTAATGACCAAAGGGGTCATGACCAGGCTGGTGAAACCCACAGGAACAGTTGACCTGAACAAGGGGGAGCTCATAGACCCCAGACTGATGGCTGAGACCAGCATGGTACTGATCCAGAACCCCTGAACATGGGTATCAGTGAGGAGGCCTCAGGTACTAGATCAATATTTATCCCTGGCATCCGAATGGACTTTGGGAGCCCATTCCACATGAAGAAATGCTCTCTCAGCCTGGACACATGGTGCCTAGGCCCTGCCCTTGATGATATGACAGACTTTGGAGATCCCCCATAAAGGGCCTCACCCTCCCTGGAGAGTCCAGTGGGGATTGGACAGGAGGTTGGTAGAGGTGGGGTGGGGGATGAGGGGTGGAGGGGTGAGGGGGAAGGGAAGGAGAGGGAATTGGAATTGGCATGTAAAACAAGCCTGTTTCTCATTTAAATTAAAAAAAAAAAACCCAATAAGTAAAAAAAAGAAAAAGAAGCTTCCAACTTAGCACTAGATAAAGGGAAGGGTATGACTTCAGGGCAAGAACCCATCCAACTAAGCTTCTAACTGGTTTAGAGTAAGAGGCATTTCCTGCTCCTAGAAAGCAGCAGAAGAAAAGTTCTGCTGCTAATGACATGGTGTCCATCCCAAGCTGGCAGTCTGACCATTCAAGGCTGCTAGCTGTGGAGGAATGAACATGCAAAAGCAAAGGAGTTATGGATTCTCCCAGTTTACAGATAGACAATTGCCAGACTCCAATACTAGAGGAGGTTTTGCATGACAGTGCCTGATTGCTTGAAATAAAAGGGCTAGTGGAGTAAGCTGGACTGAGAACATAGTTCAGTGGTAGAATGTTGGCCTAGCACACTCAAGGCACTGGTTTCAATATCCAGGACGAAAAAAGGAAAGAAAGAAAGAAAAAAGACCTATACAAAAAAGACAGTTTGTGATAAAAGGAACAAACTAGATTATTAAGACCCCAACTGGCATCCTCATTATTAAGAAAAGGCAGTGGTTCCTCTGCCCCTCAGTCTCCTACTTCATGTCAGAAGTGATAGTTTTTATTACTCAAGCTATTGAGAAATCAAGATCATGAATTTACAAAGTGATTTTTACTTGAAAAATAGAGACAAACAAAATAATAAAGTCAAGGCAAGACAACAGAATAGATAGAATATGAAGGCCAGACATTAAAACCTAGTGCCTCCTAACATCAATCACTGTGTATGTCTCAAGGGCATTACTTATAGAATATATTTGCCTAATTAGGTATGTAAAATCCATTTTCATCTACCCATCACAATACTACATTATTATTAAAATCACTTACCAGTTACCTTTAGCTGTAACCTTTCATTGTGGTTATCACTAGTATCAGACCTTGGTGAAGCAGTGGCCATGTCCCAAAATTCACCTTGACTCTACTGAAAAAAAAAAAAAAGATAATTTGTTTACATGTCAGAGAGATTTCAATTTTCAAGATGATTAAAACTGTGCATTTAAATCAATGAAAATTCATCCTCATCACAGGTTCTCAGTTGTCTTTTTCATTGAAAATTAAGACAGTATAGAAACATTATATAAGAGTGTGGCCATTTAACCATATCTGAATCAATGTGAACAACAAAATAAATGATAACATTAAGAATTCAGGATCATATGTTCATTAAAAATGAATATGTACATGAATATGCAAATACTATATATTTATGTATTACTGAAATCTCCTGGGGATATAGCCCTTTTATTCTTGAATACTTCAGTGTGTATTTTCTAAGAATAAAAACATTCTCCTAGATAATCACAGGACAATAATTAAATTAAGGAAAATTCAAACTGTACACTTAACCAAGAACTTAAATTTTGTTAAAAAAAAATTAAAAAGCACAGCTAACTATAGCTTTCTTCTACAGACCAAATATCTCAAGGCTCAACTTCTATTCACCTTTAATGTACTGAAGATTAAAATGGGCTATTCTGAGGAAAAAAATGAGAAATACTAATGTCATCTTGATTGCCCCTTAATTTGTTGTCTTTTCTGTGCTCTACTTAGATCCATTCCCTAAATTTAGGGACCAATATTCTGAAATCATTTCACTCTCTTCACTTGCTTAGATTTGTATAGATTATGTGTTGGGATATGCACAAGTGCATATGCTGACACACATAAACACAAGAGTTGCTTAATCTATGATCAAGACCTCATTCAGGTCAATACTCTTATTCTACAGAGAGGAAATAGTTTTATAAATGATGTATAATTAAGTACAATCAACTGTCATATTCATATAAGAAAAACAGTCACCCCTAAAAACTTAGATACAAGTAACATTATATGGACAGAACAAATTATATTTAGAAATATATAAGTATATACCTATACATATATACATGCAATAACAAATTAGTGAAAAACAAGACCATGAATTTGAAAGAGAGTAAAGAGGGACATATGGGGGATGGAGGTTGGCAGGAGGAAAGGGAAGGTAGAAATATATTTATAATAACCTCAAAAATAAAAAATTAATTTAAAAAAAAGAAATCAATTGAAATGGAACTCTTAAATCATCCTTGAAGGGAATAAAGTCAATGGAAATTGAAGGTTTTTTCAATTTCAAGCAGTCTGGCATACTAGATATTATGAAAGACATTTCTTCCTGCTTTGACATAAACACTTCCTGCATAACTCAAAACCAATTGTCTATTTTCCAAGTTCTGTTATGTTCTTCAGTGTGGATATCATCAAACCTATGCCATACTTTGGTGGGGAATGTTTTTCTGTGTATAAGTTTGTCTTATGAATAAAGCACTGTTGGCCAACAGGGAAGCAAGATAGGTGGGACTAGGAGTCTAGGAGGGTTCTGGGAAATGTAGTTAAGAGAAGTCATCATGTGGTCCAGACAGGATGTGACTTAGCAAGGCAGAATCAGCATATAAGCAGGGACAAGCAAGAAGTCACTCTCTCTTTTTCTTTTTTTCCTCAATATATGTTTTTATTTAAACTAAAAACATGCATGCTGCACATGTCAATCCCAGCTCCCTCTTCCATCCCTCCTCCCTCTCCCACCAGCCCCCCCTAGTCCCCCACACAATCCCCAAATCATTCCCCAGGGAGGGTGAGGCCCTCCTTGGGGGGATCTCCAGAGTCTGTCATTTCATCCAGGGCAGGACCTAGGCCCTTCCTCATGTGTCCAGGCTGAGAGAGCATCCCTCCATATGGAATGGGCTCCCAAAGTTCATTTGTATGCCATAGTGAACACTGATCTACCATCCAAGGCTCCAGAGATTTTTGAGGCCTCCTCACTGACACTACATTCATGGAGTCTGGACCAAGCCCGTGTTGACATCTCAGACATCAGTCTGGGGTTCAAGAGCTCCCCCTTGTCCAGTCAGCTGTCTTTGAGGGTTTCACCCCTTTGCTTATGACTCCTCCATCTCTGTCACTGGGTTACAGGAGTTCAGTTCAGTATTTAGCTGTGGGTATCTGTCTTCTCTTCGGAGATGCTGAGCAGATGTAGTAATAAGAGGCCTGGACCTTTTCTCCGGTAAGAAAAGGCCACAAAGAAATACATGGATTATTAGGAAATGGGTGAATAATTAAGACTGAGCTAGCAAATAAGAAACCTTAGCCAAAGGCCAACACTTTTTTATAATTAATATTGCATCTGCATGTTTCTTTGGGGCAGAGAGGGGCAGGCGGACCCTAGCCGGGCCAGAAAGACAACCCCATTACGAAAATACCTAGATTGTTAGAAATGAGCTAATTTAGACAGAGCTAGCCTATAAGAAACCATAGCCAGCAGCCAGAAGCATTGTAACTAATAGTCTCTGTGTGTTATTTGGGAGCTCTGAAGTGGCGATGGGACCCAGGTAGGAATCCCGTAACAATACTTATATAATGGTAGACTTAAAAAAATAAATAAATAAACAATAGTAAGAAACAGATGATTCCGTGTATAAAAGCACCTGCTGCCAAGGCTAACAATATTAGTTTAATCCTCATATCCTACAAGTTGTCCACTACCTTCCACATTTTATTAATTCTGTATAAATAAATAAACTTAATGATAACTAGTATAGACAAGCAAACAACATGTTATCCTGGGTATCCATGCTGATAGTTACAGTGTATGGTCAAGAAACAAAAACTGGGCCTGCTGAAAGATGAAAGAACTGAGATCTCATTGTGAGGACCCATGACAAAATTGCATCAGAGCACCAGCAATCCACTGACATATACTCTTAGGATAATACCCAAACTTAGCCACGGGGTTTACCCAAAATGAAGAAGAGCCTACCATGCGCCAACAAGTAAGAGTCAGTAGAAATACAATACAATAGTTTCTGACTGTAAAGAACTTTTAAAATTCTTTAAGATTCTAGTTTTATTGATGAATGATGAAATAAAGGATGGCCAATCAAGAAAAAACTATAAAAAGATAATATACGGATACCAGTCAGAGGAGTGGTTACATGATCCACCTGTAGGCTGAATAGCCCCACTCCCTGAATTCTGTTCCCCAAGACCCATTCTGCTGCTCAAGTCTTCCTACCTCATCACCCTCTCCATGACTAGCCCTTCCTTGCAACTCCAGTAGACTTTATTGGCTCAGGTCCAGTCCACACCAGCCAGAAGAACAGGTGAGTGACTTGCCTGCCTGCCAGCCAAGCTGACCCACTCCCCAGATTCTGATCCCCAGGATCCATCCCACAACCCCAACCCCACCTCATCACCAGCACCTGACAAATTCCCACTAGTGCACACCACACCAGTGTGAAGAGCAGACTTCATAGGCTCAGGTACATACCACATCAGTTTTGGAAGAACAGGTACAGGTCAAAGCAGTATGAAAAACAGGCCACACCAGTCAGAAAAACAAAGGCCTACTACTCCAAAGGCCAAGCTAGCCAACAGAAGACCAGTTCCCAACTTGGAAAGAGATTCCCTACTAGATGAGAGATCATGCTGGCCACCAGAAATTCAGGCCATAAAGAACAGAAGATGAAAAAGGAAACAGAAACCAAGATACAAAACACTCATCCAACAAAAACAACCTTAGACATCAGGACCTAGACCTATAAACATCATAAAATTAGATATCTAAAAACCCAGCTTAAGAATATAATCAACAACAGGCAGGGTAACATGGCACCACCAGAGCACAGCTATTCTATGACAAGACCTGAATATTACTGGGCAGCTGAAACACACACAAAAAAATATTAAAACAACTTTATGAAGATGAGGTCTTAAAGAAGAAATGAAAACTCCCTTAAGGAAATCTGTAGGAGATCTTACATACCTGTACAACCCGTTTGGGTGTGGTCACAGGTACACAGTAGGGACAGGAGATAAGAGCTGGGGAAAAGGAGACATGCTCCCTCTTGGGGTTCCAGTCGGAGTCTTGGAGACTGCTGACCTTTGATTCTCATGTAAGTGACTTCTCCCTCAATAAATATTATATAACAACCTACATTGTGCAGGTAGGTTGTCATATTCCCCGATAGAAATCGAAGAAAAGATAACCAAAAAATGGAAGAAATCAATAACTCTCTTAATGAATGCCAAGAAAACCAAGAAAAAAACAAACAGGTGAAAAAACTATTCAAGACTTGAAAATTGAAATAGAAGAAATAAAGAAACACAAATTGGGGTAATGAAACACCTAGGAACTACAGAAGCAAGCATCACAAACAGAATTCAAGGGATGGAAGACAGAATCTCAGGCATTGAAGATACAATAGAAGAAATAGATTCATCAGTCAAAGAAAATGTTAAATATAAAAAAATACAATCACAAAACATTCAGGACATCTGGACACTATGAAAAGACGAAACCTAAGAATAACAGAAATAGAAGGAAAAGAATCCCAGCTAAAAAACTCAGGGAATATATTTAACAAAATCGCAGATGAAAATGTTCCTATTCTGAAGAAGGACATGTCTATAAACTTCCAAGAAGCCTACCGAACATCAAATAGATTAAGTCAGAAAAGAAAATCCCCCAAGCTACATAATAATCAAAACATTAAACATACAGAAGAAAGAAAGAATATCAAAAGCTGGGAGGGGAAAAGTTCAAGTAACATATGAAGATATCTGCGCTCCAAATGTAAGGACCCACATTTGTAAAAGAAACACTACTAAAGCTTAAATCACACAACTAAGCTCACACACATCCTTCAGCACCCGATTCACAATAGGAACAATAGAAAGGTTGTCCAGACAGAAACTAAACAGAGAAATAACAGAACTAACAGGTGTAATGACTCAAATGGACCTAATAGATATCTACAGAACATTTCACCCCAAAACAAAAGAATACACCTTCTTCTCAGTATATCATGAAACCCTCTCCAAAATTTACCACATACTAGCCCTGAAGTAACCCCGTGTATCTTATCAGATCACCATGGATTAAAA